CCTTATCCACAAAATTAGCCAATCGCGTGCCTACGTCCTTGCGATGAAAGTCCGTACACTCACGCATGCGGTGCGCGCAGCGGGGAAAAAATAGCCTCCAATCTTCCCTTTGCGCTGCCTGCCGCGCTGGCTTTTTTTAGACGCTAGCATGCATCTCTCGCTCCCTTGCTCTCCCACCCTTTAAACGCGGCTAAAAAACTCTTTCGGCGGCGGCAGCGCACTAACGCGAGGGAAAGGGGAAGGAGAGGAGGAGGAGTAGAAGGATAGGGGGTGTAACGTTAGGCCCTACCCCTCCGCCCCTCTGCACTGCGCTCGGAGTGGTAGGGGATTGGCTAGCACGTATGGGCGTAGGGGTAAAGTAGAGGGGAGCAGAGAAAGGCAAAAGCCGCCCCATTGCCAATTCCCACGCATTGGAGCGAAGGCGCGCGTGTGCGCATCAAGCGAACGGAGGGAGGGTCAAACGCAAGTGTGTGTGCGCTCTACGGAAAAAAAGCGAGCGATGCAATGCGTTGCGATGCTATGCGATGGGAGAGCGGTGGAGCCCTCCAAATGATGGATTGTGTACGTGCGTGTGTGGATGGATGCACTTGTAAACGATATATGCTCCTGTTTGGTGTTGTGCTACCTCTGTTTCTCCTCCTACTTTCGTCAATTTTGCGAATTTTTGCAAATACCGATTGGCAAGTGAGATTACTTTAAAAAATTTGGTCGATGAAATCAAACTGTTTCTTTTAGTCTCGAAAGTTGTGTCGACGTAGCTGTAAACTGCGTAGTTTCAACGTTTGGGTAGCGTTCACATTGTAGAGTATGTGGGCAACTTCATGGCTTTTACTTCAACAGTGTTTGTGTTAATTCTGTTAGAGCACAGTGTATGGTTTTATTTGTAGAAGATGACTGCATTTTAGCCTTAAACTGACGCATTTCAGGATAAAAATTTTGCTCTGTAATGTATATCTGACAAGGAGGACGTTTACTTATCTCTTGCAGTGGAAATATACAACGAAAATTGTCAAGCTTCCACAAAAGCTAAAAAAACCCCGAAAGTTGAAAGTTTTAATTTACATTTCTCTGTACAGCTCTTAATTACCTCGTTTTTCTAGCTTTTTGAATGTTCTTCCTCCCTAAACAAGCGGACCGAGTTTTGGAAGAACTTGAGTCGTGGCAGTTGCGAATGTGCCTTACTGCGTGAAAAGGACCACTTAAAACAGGATAATTCTGCGTTGGGATTCAAATTTTAGATTGCTCTCTTACAATTACCGAGCTGGAGAATGCTAAACAGCTCTTACTATTGATCAAAAGGATAAGTCAATGAGCTTTGGTAAAATTATTCCTATTCTGACAGCAGAACGTTGTAGCTTGATAAGGCTTGCCAATTGTGCTTATGCGCACATATCATACACTTGGAAATGTCACTCTGGCAGAACATCTTTCCATGCTCTATACTGCTTTTTCTATTTTTTGGACCCACATATCGTGCAATTTTGACTAAAGCTGATGTAGTTCGGGTTTCTTGATTTCATGAAACAAAATTACTTTGGTTTCAAAGTTCCAGAATCCCCTCCCGAATTTCTTTTTGCATTTTGTATAGGAGCGGTAAGAGAAAGTACATTTCATAAACGGTTTGAATAACTAGAATTTGCCGGTTTCCTAGGTTAGGAGGGGTTTCTTAAACCATGGTAATGAAAAAGTAATTGTTGTTACTGATTAGGGTATCAAGGACAGCCTTCGGTAATGTCTGGAACCGAAACTGGTGATAAGATTTGATTACACTCAGCCCAACCAAAATAGTTATGATAGTTAAAGAGGAGGAGTTCCACCCAAGAACATTAATAGATGGCAGCTGACTTCAAAGACAATCAGCTTGTCAGTTAATTCAATCATGTATGGCATAAACACATGCAGTTGTTAGGCAGTCTACTGCCGAGCGATAGGAGATGACTTCTGTATTTTCCAAACAATCTAAAGAGTATTATTTCATTCTCAGAGGATCATACTTACAAATTAATTCCTTTTTTAAAGGCATTATTTCTCATACCACAAAATAGTCGAGAGAAGTCCTTCTAAGACGCTTGGGAAGGGGAACATAAAGGATACTTCCTAATCTCATCTTTCATATGTCCTTCACATTTTCCTAATTGACTATCACCTTTTCCCAGCATTAGACAGTCACATGATCACATCAGAAATTAGGAAACAAAAACGTGGTAAAATTGGAAGTGGATGGACCTGGATTTTCTTGGCTTCTAAAGAAAAATTGTTTTGTAATAGTGAAAATTCACCGAGAGATTCTGTTTAGTTAGGAAAAATTAGTGGCCATAGACTGTAATGTTGAAGAGAAGCTTTCTGTGGATGTTGCCTTTTTATTATTGAAGTTGCTGAAGCCAAAAAAAGGAGTTAAACACAAATTTTTTACTCACCCACCATATTCTGGTCTCGAATTTTAGTGCCGTTTAACAATTAAAATTCTTTTATAGTCTTTCCCACTCTTCCAAACACAGTTTATAGGTTGTAATTAATGTAGGGTTATTTAAAACGTCCAAATCGGGTTTTATTACTAAGACAACTTTTATAGCTAAATAAAGAAACGGCTAACCGCCTTGAAGCAAAGTCATTAAAATCGGGTTATGAGATTCCTAAATAAATATTCATAGACGTAGCTGTTGCAACAAATATCTATGGAAGGGCTAAGAAACTGTTATAGGAACCATAATAAACCGGTCGCCGCAACGTTAAAATCACGAGGAACGAAATACCTGCTTAGATAAACGATCCTGTTGAATGATTGCCTTGTTAGTACATGACCTTGCTCTTTACTTTTGAGATTTTTTCTTGGAGCTTTAGGCGATCACATCTGTGTCGGTCAAAACAAAGGCATTGCCTTGATAACCACTCCCGAAAAAAAGGAAGAAATTAGATCTTGATGTCTATGAATGAGCTCATTGATTTTGCTGGATTAGTTTTCTTTTTGGCTATTTTCTTGGTATTCCTCAAGCCTAGTTAATGTCCTTCAACGGATACAAGGAATAATCTAGTAGCTATTTGTAGGAATTGTTGCCTCGATGCAGACCCATTTGAAAAGCCCATGACCAATTAACTAAACTAATGTTTATTTTTTTTTCATGGACACCTTCTTACTGCAATGCTGCCTGCGCTTCCACCTGGAGTCCTCTCTACCAACGAGGTGGGTTTTCAAACCACTTAAACTTCTCTTTTTAAACTAATGCAAAATGGAAAACAATGTGGATCACTATAACACAAACGCTAGTTACAGGAAATGGAATTTAAAAAGGCGAGTATTATCGCTTACTTTGACACGGAAATTTTAACTCCCAAAGGTGTGCATGCATGTCTATGCGCCTGCATTTTTCGCTTTAAGAGAGAAAGGAATTCGGTCACTTGTGAAGTGGGCACTGGGGATACATTTGTATTAATTTAGCATGTAACACGACTTGCAAAAGTGGGGGCAAGTTGGAAGATGCCTTTTCACTTCTTTTTTCATTCCTGCAACAACTGTGCTTGGCCATACACGAGGATGTTTGCTGGACCAAGCAGCTCCATGTACTTGACTTTTTGAGTGACTTAATTTGTAGCCTCCTTTTTCGTTGCATTAAGGAGTCATAGAAAGTTAATTTCTTCAAATCGTAACCATTTTGGGCATGATACATTTCTACGGAGTTTGAATAACCACAAGTGCGCCTTCTTTTAAATGCCTTGTCTGTATACGTTTCTCAACTTCAAGATAAACATTTGATTGAATTGATGCGTTTCTTCTGGGACAATTATACATTTGACCCTTTTGGAAGAAGATAAACTCTGTTTACCTAATGCACCTTCTTTCGTAAAACTCATAGTTCTTGGGAATCTTCCAAGACCCTCCACCAAGACTTCGCAAAAGGTGTCGTGAAAATCGGCAAACCCTTGCATTATTTTCATTTTTTTATTAATTTATTTCATAAACTAAAAAAGATGGGCAGAAATTTATAAAAAGGGTAATAACGTTGCAGCTATATCTGTTGCCATGGGAAATTTTGATTAAAACCCATTTTTCCTACTCATTTATCAAAAAAAGTATTTTTGAAATTAAGAAATTTATGCTTGTTCATTTGGCTCTAAGGCATATTTTATGGTCATTTGACTAATAATTATGCATAAATTTGGTATTTTGGTAAACTTTTTACTCGTCTTATTATTGAGGAGTCATTTGATGACCCTTATTCCGACTCATCATATACCCTGATCCAAAACTAAAAGCAGTACTTTAATTTTCTTTTGGGAATGCTTAGTTTACCTACTTATCTCCAGCAAGTAAATCTCGTTGAAGATGTAGCTATGAAGCATAAACATCTACAGAAATTTACCATTCAGAGAAATTTTGTAGAAGACATAAATTTGGGCAGCGTTCATTCCTTTGGTTTTTACACATACAAATGTAGCGTCCCGGGACTCCCTGAAGACGAAAGAAGACGAAATACTCGGGCAGAATATATATTCAGCACGGAGAAGGTGTCTGGGCTATTGGCATGGCCCAAAAGTCCAGCCCACCCAGCGAGGTACAAGGGGGCTAATTCAAAGTACAAAAGTGGCGCCTCACCAGAACCGAGGGATAAACCACTATTGTATTACACAAAAGCCCAAGGGAGCCTCAAACTGCCAACGTTGGAAAAAAATTCATTAGTCATGCAAAAAATTTCTTTGAATTTAAGGTTTCTGCACTAAATTCTACAAAAAGGAAAGTTTTTTGTTTTTAATTCGAGTGTCTGCAGCTGATAAGTCCAAATAGCACTCTAGTCCCACGGGTTCCCCACCATCGTGATGGCATGGATGGCCTTCGATGCCTATAATCCCCCATCCCTAGTTGACCATTCCTTCATATCAATAGGTCTGTTCATGTTTCTTAGCTGCCACTTAAGATAAAAAAGTTTTCTACTATATAGTTAGTAGCAACTTCAACCTATTTCAAGCCCACTCCTAAACGGTATTCTGTTGATGAACTTCCGTTCCAAGGGTACCAAAATGCATAAAATTATATTGACATGAAGAGCATGGTATTAACCGAAAGCCGCTTTCTTAATAGGAGTCTTCTAGAAGTTGACAACTTCCAGTTAAAACACTACCCACCGGCAAATTTGCTTTGTTCGCATCGTTTTTGAAAGAATTCTAAGAATTTATATTTTGACTTAGCTAATTGGAACTTGCATCAATTGTAGAACTTCTATTTAATTTTTAGGATATACTTTCAAAAATTCTTTATGAAAGTTTATTGCTGAAGCGTGACGTGCTTAAAAACCGAAGTAGCATTGCCAGGCTTGTTTAAATTCTTTTAATTTAAAAAGAACTTATACCACTGTTTTTGCCTAGTCATCTTCAAACAGTTATTTCCGCGGTGCAATTTTTACGAAGTGTCGGACCCATTTTCTTTTTGAATGCCATCGGCAATGATGGATTCACCTGGATGCGCAGCCACTGAAGCATTGCTCTTTTTATTGCAATGTTGCTTGTTTTAAAGCATAATTGAGTAAAAGAGGTAATGATAGTGAATATGCTCTGCAATACTTCACGCCATTTCAGGGCTTTACTAGGGTTTGTGTTGCGACTTAATGGTGAATGTTGTTTTACTGAGAACACAAGCCTATTTACTTTTGTATCATTTGTAGCCTTTCTCAACTTTACAAAATTTGCTGTTTTTGTAGCTTTTATCACACATTTCTGCTGAATTAAAAACGAGTTGGCAAAGGTCCGACAAAACGGTTAATAGCGACTTTATGCCTGTAAAATGTCTCGATTATATTTGTCGCAGAGGGCTCAACTTGACAAATAATTTGACCTTGATTACTATTGAATGACAAGTGCTAAAAATGGCTTATCTTCCACCGCAAGAAGCGGTGCGTCGGAAGCAAAAATTTAAGCACTTATGTAGATGTTTCTCGGAGAAAAGATTTTCTGAACTTAAAACTGCCAAGAGGAAAACAACTGCAAGTCGAACACTCAGGTTCAGCTTTTTGTTACCGCTGAAACTGGCCTTCTTCTGCTTTTATAGGTCAGCTTCGGGATTCGCCTTTCATTTCTCTAGTTGACGTTATAGGTGACGGAACGCCAGGAGCGCTCTACGTCTACTCAACAGCATGATCTCTGGGGAACTTTTAACTCTACGCATGAATGACTCTGCGGAAGCAGCCTTTTTTCTTCATGTTTTTAGTTAACGAGGTAAAAAATAAGTAATTTTTTACACACCTTTTCGATATAACATCAATTTGATGCTTCTAAGAATCATTCTCAAGTTGTAGGTAGACGTCCGAAGCATTCTTTATCTATTTATTTTGCCCAATATTTTTTTGAAGAAAAAAGGTAAATTTTACCCTTTTAAATACCGCACACTTACTTGGGACATTGGCTGCAATGGTAAATCAGCCTCAAAGTAGTGCTTTTTATCCTTAAATACAAAAGCATTGAGATATCTCGATATTCTAGCTTTAGACTAAAGTGGCTTACTTCGGTTTAGGCTTATTCAGGAAGTTAACATTGAGTCATATTTAAGATGCAAATCCCATTTTACCTTCACTTACTTAATTCCAAACAGCACAAGTATAATGTTGCCTTCATAAAGGTCTGCGCTGCAGCATTTTCACTAGATGGATGCGTGATTTTCTCAGGTTTTTCGAGTCTTTGTCTCACTTAGGCACCAAATCCAGCTACGATACTTCCTCTTCTGCCTAGCTGTTTAAGTTTTATTTACAACGCATTCAAAGGAGGGTAAAATACCTTACCCTCCTCTGGTCAGTCCCTTAAAAAAAAGTAAAAGCATAAACGTTTGTTGTCTGTTCGGAAGAATATAAATTCCTTCCTTCCTTTTCTACAGATTACAGTACTTTTTACTGTAGGCGGATCTTAGACAGGCTTTGGGAATCGACAAGATTCTTTCTTTAAGACACGTCAGTAGTGGTTTGAACTTTCTTTTTCACTAAAATTTCTGAAATTTATTGAATTTTTTTGCAAATATCTCGTAATTTCAACGATTGTTTCATTTCAAAATGAAATTTGTAATAAAATATACAAATGGGAATAATCGTTGATTTATTTAGCAGGGCTGTAGTTCCTTGTGACTTCCTTGAAGAAGGAAGAAGGCATAAAACTTGGAAATAATATTTACTGCTGATGTAAGGAAGCGCTAGGGACTACTGGCTTGGCCCAGAAGTCATGCTGTCCAGCAAAAGTACGATTGCGGAACCATCAGTGTTTGCAAAATTAAAGCGAAGAGTTAAACAAATAGTCAAAGTATTACTTAGCCCCTTCCTCATTTTGTATGGCGTCCTTGACTCTCCCCTGGTCAACCTCCCCCGTCGGCTATTACGACGTAGTCGGAGATGTAAGAAAAACACCCACCAGCCAACCGCTCTAATCATCGAAATTGCGTGCAACTGAAAGGATGCTTGACTACAACGGATAGAGTCCATACAGATAGAAAATGAAAAGAAAATTACAGATATGCTTATAAAATATGAGCCCAACGTGGTATAATTGTGAATACTACTTTTAGCATGCATTATAGTGTCATTTAGTGTAGAAAGTTGGGGAGATCCTGCAATCTGTCACAAGAATAAGTGGTTCATTACCCTCGAGGTCAAACAAAATGTCGGAATCCTAAAACAACTTGATCGTCAGTATTAAGTATCACCTCTGGCGATAAAATTTATAAGATTCCCAAGTTGTCCTCCTGGGATACTTTTCAACTGTAATTGACAAGACAGTTAAGAGACCTTCCTGATCCCATCCACCGAAACACTCAAGTCCGAAGATGCTTTCTTCAGACACTGGATACCTTTAAAACACTTCACTTTGTTAGCAAAGTTTATAGAAACTAGGGAAAGATAATTGGGTCGACTGACCGACCAAACCCCGTTTTTTTCGGTTGGGTGAACCACATAAACAACTAATTACAAGTAGGAGGAGTGACTGAGCTTTTAGTTGTGGGTAAAGGACAAAAACATCCCCTCTTGGGAGAGCCCAGTTCTCCCCTCCTCTTGGGTTAATTATTTAGAACGGTACGCCCGATTTTTTTCTACCCTCCTCGTGCCGGTTGAGAGTGGAAAAAAGATGTTAGGGAGACCACTTCTCTGACCATACTATGAACATGGGTAGTGGAACGCAGCAAAGTGGATTTGAGAAATTTGTCGAATTGTTAATGCCCGTAATAATAGGAAATAGATATCAGGGGAATAAGTCTGCAGAAAATTACTCCACTCTAGACCTGAGATCTGTTAACCACCTATTTTTCCAAAATATGGAGGAATGCGATTGTTGCAAATTAACTGAGCCCTTCCCAAAGCCAAATCTTCCAGTTAAGCACGACAATCGGCCAAAGTGCGACCTCTAATAGGTTTACTGAATGGCATTGGGGAGGGGGAAGGAAGGGAGGGAGGGAAAAGGTTAGTCAAATGGAAAATCTTCATCAGCAGTTAGAATAGAGAGGGATCTTACACACTGTTGTCAGTGACAAGTGTGCTCCATCAAGAGTGCCAGCGGGTAGCTCGCATTGCTTTTGTTGCCCTTTGGAGGCACTATTAATCAAGATGGTAGCATGTAGTGATAAAACTTTTTGTGGATGGATATCTACCCATTCCCCTTATGAAAAGCCAAGAGATCTCCGCTTGACTTATTTGTATATATGTAAGTAGATCACGTTGATTTTCCTGGAATGTTGCACCGCAAAACCAATCAGAGAGCATTCTCGCTGTGGTACAATTTCATTACATTGTCTTCATCGATGCTTCATGAAGAGTTTCAAGGAACAAGACTGCTTTACTGATAGGTGTGGAAGTTTAACACTAGAGCTATTGACCATTGTGTCGCATTTACTCCTGGAGGGAGCTTTGTTGTATACTTATGGAGGTCTTGGAAGAGGAGTAGCGTAGGTGGCAGAGGTGAAACACCGGTAGTAATTGCAATAAAGCTATCAAAGAAATTTGCGTTTTGTTTGAAGATACTACAAAAAACAAACGAATAAAGCTTTTGCTCCACTGTGGATTTAAAATTGGAATTGCTTTTCAAGATGTGTTAGAGTAGTGGACAAAATGCGCGGCCTCCGTCACAACAATGTTCCTATAAAAGAAGGGGTTCTAAAGAGTTACTGATAAAAGGAACATTGAAAGATTTGAATTAAATTTGCCTAATTTTGCAGTGGTAATTCGGAGAAACCTTTGAGAACTTAGGTTGATTCAAGGAGACTTTTCGCGACGTAAACGGTTTAAGGGGAACAAGGAACCCATTTTCCACCCCAATCGGGAATTGACGGAGGAAAAGTAGTCCTTTGTGTGCAAATAGTCACAAACACACGCGAAGTAGAGGAAAGAAGAGGATTAATCACACTCCTCATCATAACTATCATCAAAGAGGTAGAGTAAGGTGGAAAAAATAGCAGTGGGTGAGCATGAGAGAGATTGGGACGGGAGAGAGAGAAGTGAGGAGGAGGATAGGAGATGCTACAACCATTACGAAGGGGGTAAGACTATATCAAATTCTAAAGTGGTCAACTCATCATAATTTCCTACAAAAGAGAAGGAATCAAATGCTCTGCAAGGCTTGCATCAAATTAAATGTTGTTATCTAAAATCGGAAAGATAACAGGCAAGCCAGTCACTAAGCACTTTAAACAATTTGTCCCCAACACTAAAAGACTTGAAAGAACATGTTTTAATGGAAATCGTAAATAAACACTTCCATGCATCCATCCAGAATACATCCTAAGCCCACTCGCCTATCAATCCATTCCTCCCTACTCAACCAATCAACTGAATATTTGAAGCGTTATTTGTGATCTAAATATGACATTGCCTAAACATTCATAAGGATTTATTCACCACTGGTTCCCTAATTTAGCTAAATATTAAAGCAGATGTCGAAACGAAATCGTAAAAATACGCTATTTTAGCAACGACCGCACTGCTTACTCCTTCATAAAATAGACTCGCATAGAACTACAAACTTACATCAACGCATTCACTATTCCGTTGTGTATGCATTTTGTACCTATCTGCGGGATTTCGGATCAAAGTAGAATGAATAGGGGACGATTGACAACGTAAGCGCGGGACTTTACGAGGCAACACCCATTAGTTCCAATGAACGCAACAGCGAACGCGGCCATTGCTCCCCTAGCATAGGCTCCTTAATCAGTTTCCATGCTGTTTATCAACTAGGTAGCTCAAAGGGTCGCATTTTGAGGGAATTAGCTTCAAATGAAGCATTCAGTGGGAAGCAGAAAAAATCCTTGGTAAAAATATTTACTAAAAAATGTCAGTAGAAACTTTATTTCACCTTTGCCACACTTCTAAGACCCCCAAATGTCTCTCATACTAGTTTTCAAACTCTTGGAATCTTTATTTAACCTGTAAATATTATTGCAAAGGAAATTTGCAACGATGGATATACGTAAGAAATGGACTATAACAAAAATGAAACGCACGCAACTGATAAGATTAACATCGAGAAAATGAAAAATATGATGAAGTCAAATTTGGCAACAGTTTACAAGAACTGAATTAGAGAATAATGATTAGGATAATAATAAGGAATAATAACATCAAAAAGGGGCCGAAGGTCTTGAGGACCGAAAGGAATCTAAAAAGGAACAGAAAAAATCAGATAATTTATCCAAAAAAGATCACGCATAGAAGAGCCATATGACCTTAACAAGTTGTGCAAAGATTTAGAAGAGATTTAAACTTCATTTGCCCAAAACTCGCTTCACTAACGAAAGCAGGCTTCCTCCCACTAGAGACATCTACGTACTTAAGGGAAGAAAGTTCATTAAAAACCTAGGCCCTAATTACCAAGAAGTACAAGATGAGAGAAGGAGAAACTGGTCTTGTCCTACTTTGTCATGTGAGTAGTTTTATCTAACATAAGCTCCACTAAGAAGGAAGTGCAGCCCTCTTTCAAACCCCTGAAATTGCTGAAAAGACAAATTCACCTTCCCAGGCATATATGCACAGCATGAAGACGAAGTTCCCCCTTCAGAAATTCATCTATGGGTGGGTCGAAAAGTTCAAAAGTGGTTGCACTAATGAAATGGACGCAGAAAGCGCCGGAAGTCCAATCAGCGACAATCCGATCCATGAGAAATGAAACAAAACTTCTGTTTTCATAAATCGATTCTCAAGAATTAATAGCTGAAGAGGTTTGAGAAAGCCAACCGTGAGTGACATGTCAGTATACGCCCGAAGCCAGCAGTGTGGTGGAATAGCTGCCGACAGAGAGGCTTAAGTGGATAAAGGAGCTAATAACACCGACAAATGGATTCACCAGTGCAGAATTAGACATTGACAATCTTCAAGGCTTCTCATGAGGCCTCTTAGGAAGGTGTAACAGCCTTCACAAAGACAATATGCCCGGAGTCAAATTAAGTCAAATGTTTACCTCGAAAAATCATTGCCTAGTATACTTTGCAAAAAAAGCACGAACCGACGTCATCATTGAAGTCACTGCTCAGCCATCAAAATGTAAGATTTCAACATGATTTGGGAAATCTAGACCCAAAAAGCCGAAAATTTAAATATTGTGACTGCCCGATTTGCAGCAGAAAAACGATTTGAATGAGTTCTTTCCCCACTAAACCGCCTCGAAATTCGTGATCTTGTGGGAAAAAGGTAGTTCAAGGATAGGACGGCTTTTACTCTCCTTCTCTTACCCAAGAAATTTGCTCCGAAAAGCCACCATCATGCCAATTGAGTACATATTCCACGCAGTCGATCCACCATAGCCCATTAAGTTCAGAGCAAGAGCCACGTGACAATGACAGTTGTCGCAACAGAGGTTGTGCTGCAAGGCAAAGGGAAGAGCATGAGACAAATCATTCCTTACTCTCCATTCTTTTGGAAAAGAACTGCTTCCCAGCCAACGTACTCGTTACCAGGGTATCTGAAGAAATTTCACAACCACAATCAAGACGTTTTACAGCTCCAGCCTAGCGCCGACACTCTACCGAAATTACCTGTTCAACCGCTGCACAAAAGCAAAAAACGCTCAATTAATCTTGGACAAAGATCATTTTATACTTATTAATGTGTTTTAAACTCAGTAAATCTGTCTGCAACACTTCATCGGGTGCAGCCAGTTATTAATAAACCGATAAAAAACACAAAAAAATGCGCGATCTCCGGCATCGGGTAAGAAGGCTGCTTCGCATATTTGAGATGCAGATGGCGAGTGGATGACTGATACTTATTTCCAATCTACTATGTTTGAAACGTCCAAAGTGATGTCCAGCAACAATCCAAGGGCCATTAACAGCCATAGGATAGGTGGGTAAAGTGGTAAGCAGACTGAAAGGACAACTCGATAAACCAGGGTTGCTACAATAAGTGGGTGAGTAGATACACGAATCCGATCTTCCCGTGTAGATCTGGGAAGGATGAATGGGTGGATTAATAAATGCATTGACAGATAAATTTCGGAGGATGGATGAAAGGAGCTGAAAGGGGTAGACGTATCTCACCTAGGTGAATGAACCTGAGGTGAATGCAATTTCTTCTACCTTAAAAGCTCAATCAAAAAAAACAGCTACAAATGGAACTTCTTTGGTTCGAAAAAGAAAGTACTCACCATGCGTCCCTTGTACTCCGTGTTTGCCTCGTGCACAGCTCTGTCCCAATTCTCCGCTCCACCTACTGACTCCATATTCAACCGGAGGTAACGCGTCGGCCACCCAAACCCCATGTTGTCTTCCTGAGAGCAGCAAAAAACAGCAACAAAATCAGCAATCGTGAGACAGTGGAACAAGTTTCATGCCAAAAAGAATAAAACACTGATGTGCATAATGAAAACTAATATTAACAGAAATTTCCTCAAATCCAGAAGCAATACAGTATCTCGATTAAAGGAAGTAGATTCGGTTGTCTCAAGGACACCTACTTACAATACTGTAATACAAACAGAGAACAACAGTTGAATTCTGAATACTTTATACCCATCTGCTGAGGTTAAAAGAAAACTGATAACCACCTCATATTCACAGAAACCTGAGTACCGAACTTACAGCATCGGTGGAACAAAGAAAGTCCGTGAGTTTTCCAAAAACCATAATTCAAATGACTTGCAATCATTGTAAGCTACGGATAATTGTCAGTTTATCAGTACGATGTTCTTTGGTATTTCCTCTAAAAGCCTCTTGCCATTTTAAAATCATGAAGTTTCCTAAAGTTTCCGTTGAACCTGGTGGATGTGACCCAAAATTGTCTGCTTTAAAAACAGAGTTGGACTAGATCCCAGAGCTACAAAAGGCTTTCCCAGTGTGTATAGTATCTTGAGGTATAGCGAAAACAGAATGATTCTGCCAATCGGAGCAGGATACAATGCGGTGAGAAAGTCCCTCTATTCCTTACAAGTACCTTAAAATAATGAATCACACCCAACTGCAAAGATCGTGGAAGTTTTCTGTTGGTTGACTTGCGGTAAGAAATAGCGAAAAGGTGTCAATAATCGTCCCGAAACGGTCCAGTGGGTTACAGTTCTGAAGGTAAAATCACTAACTACAAATTTTCTGCTGAAGGTAACAAAATTTGCTCAGCACAACTCGGATGTGCAAGAGAAACTTCTCCAGAAACAAATTGGGGCAAGTCGATAAGCCTGAAGAAAGTCCTATCCTTAAAGGACAGTAAAAGACCACACAGCAGCACACGAACTTAAAAATGGGGAGATCTGGTAGGGCGAGAGATACTACCCCATAAAATTTGGGCTAAACGAGTCCTAGCTTTGAAAAACAAGTTCTTAAAATGTAGCATAATTAACAGAAAATATGACGGAAGTGAACTGATTCTGAACAAAAGGGCTTAAATCAACATAAGGGAATATCTTGACTCGCAATAACTTAAAAATTGAGGAACATGACCACATGAAAGCGTTTGAAACCTTTCTATTTATTCTAAATTTTATCGTGTCATTCAGTATTTATCACGAAATCCAGGGTTTAAAGTGCCTAACAGAAGACACATGATGGATATATCCACCCAAATTCACGGTAGCACGGGTTTTGTTCGCCCTCTGGACAGTTTCCGTGCCACTGCAAAAATCCCCAAGGACAAGATACTATTGCAGGAAAACGATATTTCATTTATGAACCCGTTTTTAGGCCACCACGCTGCAAAATAACCATGTGTAAATTTCCCATTTCATTTTTTGGTTGATCACAATGAAGATCGACTTTAAGCATAGATCATGACCGCAAGCATGATAGAAAGCGATCTAGGCAAGAATGAAGAGAGCTTATAATCCAAAACAAAGAGATGGAATATTTGGAAAAATGCATTCTAAAAAACGATTCAAGCACTTGGGGCCAGTCACATAAGATGATAGAGTCAATATTACCATCGACAAGAAGGGTTAGGGGGAAGTTGGTAAATGGGAGTGGTTTTCCACGTAAATGATCACCTAGATGATGAAAGTGCCCAGCGGATTTAAAAAATGAGAATGATACCCAAGATTTAAAACGAAAAGCTTTTCAAGAATCTGGAATAACTACGAGAATGGAGAAAAGAGGTTTAGATGAGCACAAGATGGCACAGAAATCCGGACTCCAAAGTATCATTGACCACGAAGGATTCAAACGAAATGATGGAGAACTCACACAGATGCAGTAGGGCCCAGCGAAGTCGTAAATGACGCCCTTTGAGTTAGTGATGCCAACATGCCCAATCAAAGGAAATAGCCACCTAAAGACATGGACTTAGAGTAACTTTGTATCAATTCCCGTACGTAATGATGGGAAGAGGTGTCCATACAATGCAATGGGGGTACCGATGGGTACGTTGATTGATCGTCCCACTTAGATAAAGCATTTCAACGTCAGGGAGATCTTTCAAATCACCACCTTCCATGCAGCTAGAAAGTAAGAGTTAAGAAGTAAAACCACACAAAACCAATGTGTCTCTCGTGCTCATAAAACACAAAATGATAAAAATTGCCGACTCAACAGGTACTGGTACCAGCTAAAATTAAACTAAAAACGAAATCACGACCGGCTCCCTAACCTAAGGATCCTATTGGATGCTTTGGTTTTATTAAACGGACAGCTTGAAACCAATCCTCTATAACAATTAGCGCACATAATTTATTATTACCCCAAAGAATTAGGTATTATTGAAGATCTTGACAAATATCAATGGAATAGTGTTTTAGAAAGCTAGATGAGCAACAATAAAATAACTAATCAGTTACTCTGTTTTAGAGTCAGTCATATAAATCTTTTCACGGAATTATGCGCAATGCCAGCATTTTTAGGACTTAAACCGTTATAAGTCAGTTGTCGGTTAGAGTCTCAGATTTGGGGAAGGGCTACTTTGAGCCTTGGCCATTGCACCTTCATCGGGGAGGGTGGGCTCTGAGCCATGCCAGCAGCACAGGGCCTCACTGTATGTTCAATGTGCTTGTGTGTGCAAAAACAATTAATGAGCGAATTGTGGTACCCGATTTCTATGCTGTTTCCGAAAATGCTAAAGCAGTATGGTTCAAAACACTGAGAAATTGCTTCTGTAGCTATTAATTGGTGATGATGCAGAAAAAGCAGGGTGTTTTTCGTTTGTGAAGTCCTATTTTTTTAAATCGTCTCATGCCCCCAAACTCACTAACGCTTATGACAAAATAACGTACGATGTTTCAAAATTTTTTGTTAAAATGTGAGGCGCGCATTTTTTAATCTTAATGGTTAAAAAAGTACAAACAGTAGACGAGTTTCAAAATATTCATTATTTGTCCTACTGTGGTGTCCGGGGACTCCCTGAAAACAAAAGAAGACACAATACTCGAGCAGAATGTATATTCAGCACAGAGAAAATGTTTGGGATATTGGCATGGCCCGAAGGCCAGCCCACCCAGAGGTACAAGAGGGCTAACTCAAAGTACAAAAGCAACGCCTCACCGTCACTGACGAATAAACCACTATCGTATTACACTACTTTGGTGTTCACGTGGGTACAATAGATTGTTGTAATACTTACGTTGTTTTAGTGGACCTTTTAGGGAGGAGGCGAGCAGAAAATTGGAATCTAGTGGTCGGATTGTACTCCCCTGTACCTAGCGACTACAGCTCCCCTCCTTCTTGAACATTGTATTTTCCCTCTCCATCTTGTCACCTTTAATAAAGATGCCAAAAGCGAATCAACCGGGCTTGTCTAAGAATGTTGGGAATAGGGAAGCGGAGACCGATAAGTCTCGCTTCATATTGTGCATGCACAAAGGATGTATTTAGGTCGCTTTACTAAAAATACAAATACTCAGACGTAGGTAACTAAAGGGTCAAGCTAGTGTTGCATTTGGACTTCCCTAAGGACAAAAGAAGACGCAATGCCCGGGTAGAACATATATGCTCAACATACCATGAGCCCTAGGGCTAATAGCATGGCAAAGAGGCCAGCCTATATGAAGAAGATTCAGCCGCCAAAATACAAGGTCGACCCTTAATAAAACTGAAAGGTGAACAGCTAATGTATTACATCATCGTATTTCTAATTTTTCACAACCTTAGAAAATGCACCTAATATCAATAATAGGAATTTATTACTAAAGTTGCGGGTTCAAAGTCTTTTAGTTTTTAAAGTGAATAACTTTGTTGCTAAATACTTATTTTAATTGCTTCTCATTTTATTTCTTCGAGGGACTGCTTTCTCTTTCCTTTTGCTTGCTTTCTGGTTGGTTAACACCGCGTTAGTTTACTAAATCGGTGTGCGTGGCGTTTCTTTGACGTAGTCTGTGGTTTTCGCCTCACGTACCCTTTGTTATTGCTTCATTCGTATTATTAACGCGACTTCATTGCAAAAAACTGGATGAATTCGTACAGCCACAATTGGGGGCACTCGGGAAGCCACCGTCGCGGCGTCCTCACCGATGACAACGAAGCTCTGGCTGGTGAACTCTGTGTTAAGGTCGATCTGCTGCGCGAGCTATCCAAGAGCATCGGAGACGAAGTGCGTGAGCAGAATGCCTTCCTTGATGGTAGTCTTTCGGATATGTTTGCGCGCTCTGAAGGTATGCTTCGCTCGGCACTGCGACGAGTCGGTCTTATTCGTCGCGAACAGGGCTACTGTGCTTGTGGTCTCTACTGTCAACTTTTCCTCTTTGCCCTCCTTTTCTTTTTCCTTTGTTGGCTCCTTCTTAAATTTGCTCGGTGACGGCACAATTATCAAATAAATCGCATATTTTTATTATTTTTTTCTTACACACTTGTAATTTTGTTTTGTTCGGCTTCTCAACTACGTTAGCTCTGATTTTAGACAGATCCTCCTCCTCAGCAGCAAGGAAGACAAGAGACGAATGGGATTGGAGCACTAAAGCTACTCCTTCCTCTCCTTCTTTTTATTCTCCTTCTGGATTCCATTTCGGACTGGAGTATGAATAAAAAATCTAATGACTCGACATTGGAATTAGGCTTCTACAAAGAGTGAGTTCTTGTTAAGATACCTCCCCTTATTTCTCTTAAAGACTTGGATTCGTTGTTCTTTCAGAGCTATTCCTGGAACAGTCTTTCTAGTACCAGAACAGTTTAATGGCTGTTTGTTATTTCTTTAAAAATCTATTAAAAAGAATATTGGGTACCAAAAAAGAAATGCTGTGCCCGCGTTCCACTAAATGATTGCCGCAGGTTTTAGCAAGTCGCTGGAGCGAACTATGTCGAAAACCGCGCGGTCTTTTTGGTCACCTGACACTATTTCACACTTATCAAGAGTGGTGCATCTTGTTGAACTTTGGTGGCATGCCTCATATTGTATTATCTGCTGGGTTAAATAGAGGTGAGAATGAATGCTGAATGAGGTTCTCTGGCAAGCTCCATTTGTCAGTGTCTATTCAGTTATCTTCTTGGACCCATGTGAGGAAAGCGGAGCTAGAGGCTTTCTATTTCCAATTGCTCTTCATAAAGTTTTGTTGGATAACATGAAAATTTGTTGTTCCTTCCCCTTATACATTTCCAGACGCCTTCCAATGGGTCATGCTCAGTTCTACGTCCTCTACGAACCATCCAGTCTGGAAGTACGGGCAATACCTCAGGGAAAGGACGTGGATCTCTACGTGATAGCCGATGATGACCTGTATTACTTTAGGCACCGAATTCCTCAAATCGAAAAATTCTTAAACTCATCCTCTTCCTTCTCTCTAAAGGTAAGTTTTACAGCTTATGTAAATGAAGCAGGATTCTCTACTAACCAATTCTTTTACTTAGATAGCTTCTTTGTCTTGTTGGTGGTTTTTCTTAGCGTGTCGTTCTGTTTCAAATGGCTCATTGTTGTCTACCACCTTGACCTCATCTCCAATCACCCATGTCACGGGGTGGATTTTACAAACAGAATTACTTGCCAAATCGGAACTTCGCATTCAAACTATTGACTGACATACAGAGTGTTTACTAGCTGGTTACACACTTGTCGCACAAAGGGACACCAATCGTACCGGAATGTTAGCATTGATTTCACTTAGGAAACATGTCAATTCGTAATTCAGTACGTGAGTTCCTGGGGTTCATAAACAACCCACCTTGGAGACGACAGTTAATCAGGAAAAGTCAAATATTTTGCATCTAACAACAGTAGTCTATCCATTCATTACAAATATATCCATCCATTTACCCATCAAATTCAAGCCCCTATATTCGTACCGAAAGTGATGCCTTGTTATTCTCCATCTTGCAGTCAAAGACAACGCGATTGGTGAAACTCGATCCACCTGTACCCTGGGAGGTAATCTCCCCACCTGTGGAGGTGAAGTCGATACACCGATTAATCAACGCCACCACCACTACCTACTGGTCTTCCATTCCAACTTTCACCCTCGCCTCAACTGGTCTGGGTGTGGAGAGGCTTTACGTGCCTGCAGCTTTTAGAAGACCCCTTTTCATAGTAGTTTTCGCGCCCTCTAGTGGATTTGTTGAATCTGATAACGGTGCGGAATCACTAGCCACTGAGGAGCAGCAATACCACCACTTCTTTATTCAGGTATGTTTTTTCATTCCTGGTTCTCTTTGAAGACTTAATAAGCCATATCAATTAGAAGATACGTAATTACTTGGAGTTTATGGGAGGCTGTGGATGTGACTGGGCGGTCGCGCTGTACAGCGGAAGTACAAGCTGTTGAAACTGAAGGGTTTGTGCAGTTAAATATACAGTTCAACTAAACATTCAGTAATTGTTACATTATCCTTCCTTACCAAGTCTAAGATTCTTCTAAGTGTCGCTCAAGTCAAGTCAGAACTTTTGGTTCACGAATACGTACATTAATTACTGATACCGTGGCGGTGCCACTTTTGTTCCACAACACCCTAGCACCCGATGATTGTGTTATATGTAGGCCAATCCGAACCCCGTTAATCAAAATGACAGCCAAAAGTGGTGTTCTGTGCTTGGAACAGCGCGAAGCGTCAAAGTCGAATATATCCATCCACCAGTATAACCGCTGCCGCATCATGCGTGGGGTGGCTGGCTTTCAAGTCCACAGCATAGCATTAGTTCATTCCTGTGAGCATTCAACCAACACATGAAATATCCGATCCTGGGAAATCGCCACGCAATCTTTTGTCGTAAAATTCTGCTTGAGATTAGTCCCTACTTGAGATAAATCGCTCACAAACGCTTATCGTGCACTTGTTACCAAACTTTGTACACCCTACTAGGATCGTTCAATCATACCGGTAATTTACCCTTCTCTTGAAGCTTTTTTGGGCACTAAGTAAATATTTGTGATAAATGTAAAGTGCGTTGGGAAGCCATGTAGAAAAGTGGGTGCCGTTTTCCCTTCCTGGGACTTGTTTTCCTTTATGACATCAAAAGCCCCAATTGTTCGGCTCATTCTTTTACTCGACAGTGGCATAATTCTTATTGTCATTTGTTTGTCCAACACTGTTTGGGGTGATTATTATCCGTGCCTCCCAATGCATTCACATTCATTTTACAACTACCATGTACTAAGCATAGCCTCAGCTCAGGCAAGCTATAACGCTAATGGACTCAAGCACCACTAATATGTGGTGATTGATGTCTCTGGAGACTGAAAGGCCTGTATATTTAACTACTTCCACTTGAAGAAAGTATTATTTTGTTTTAGATTCTTAAAGAGAACGAGGAGGTTGTATCGACTTATGAGACAGTTCGAGGTGAAGCAGAAAGGCGAAGCCTCTCCTATGATGAACTTACAGCAATGTTTTCAACCCTCCACGTGGAGTTCCAGCGTGAAACGAAGGTGAAGCCGTCCCTCGTGGCTACTGCGACATCGCAGCATTCGAGGGTTCAAAGAAATGAGGTGGTGAAAGAAAGGGATGATGAAAAAGGGTCATCTGCATGGGAATTGTTACAACACTTCTTGTTAAGCTTACTTGAGAATCTTGTTAATGTTCTTATCTAGGCTTCACAGGGGAAGTTCCCTTCCAGTAACTACTATTTTTTGATTGTGGATAAGTACCTTTTAGTAGAAATTACTCATCCGTAGGCTTTCATTGGTTTTTTGAAGAACGTTTCACTTTAAGATCCGATGGACGTCAGTTGCACCATACATCGCTTTGTTCAAAAGACGATCAAAATATTTTGCTACTATTGAAAGCTATCAGATTAGGCGGAGTCAAAGCATAAGTAGAGGGAGGATTAGGTATGCAGGTAACATTCACCCACGTTACATCGAGTTATAAAGGAATTCTCTAATTTGGAACAGGCAGAGTGACGGGTGCTCCTCGAAGTTGCCTTTCCATCCCTGCATTATTCATGGAACCATCAAGGCTGGAAATCCGATTTGCGTTGAGGGAAAGAAGACCTGAAGAGCATACCTCATTTATTCTGAAGCGTAAGAAAAATAATCATGTTAACTATTGCGTAGTGGGAAGTGTAAGTCGTAGGTTGCGGCAGTAATTTTGTCCTCAGTTGGCTTGTATTTAACCAAACAGGTACTTATGTAGGATGGGGTTCGTTGATCTCCTCTTCCTTGACCCTCATGCTCTTGGAACACCAAGGGTGATGGGGTTTTGTCATATTTATTGCTTAAAGTAAATGGAGGAGTGGGTACAAGGTTAGGAATGTTGACGGCTCCTCAGTCATGCGGTTTGATTTGTCTGCTCGCCTCCTCTTTGAAAGGAGCATTTAAGCAACAAAAGTATTGCGTAGTCCCCTAGTCTTTTCAGTACTGACTCCGGTGCTACGACTTACGAGTTTCTTTCATAGTTGCCATCCGGTGGTTTCCCGTCTTTCGTCGGAGCGCAATCCTCCTCTTCATATCCAACCGGTGGTGGTCCTTGTTGAACGGCTACCGGCTGGGGTACGTAGTTGTGCAGCTTGCAAGTGAGAGCGCTTTCACTTGAAATGGGTCCTTGCTCCATGGGTGATGAAACTTGCGGTGTCTTCCAGGTGGGGAAATCGGCCTGTAAATTTGCACTAATTCTCCTTCTCGGTAGACGTTCGTCCGGCTGTGTCGGTCGCAATATTTCTTCTGCCTGGTATAAGACAGTCGCAAATGCTTACGTGTGATGTTGGAAGTTTTCCTCACCCCTTCTTTTGGACGCAGTATGTACTCTGGAACATTGTTAGCTGCTTCGTCGGTGCTTGGCAGGAAGATGTCGGGAGACACACTTCGCTACCTGTGAGCATCTTGAACACAGAAGTGCTCGTTGGCGTATAGACCATAGATCTGTAGGAAGGAAGGACACGTCTTTGACTTAAACTTGGTTGTGTGTCTTTAGTGAAGGCCTTCAGTAGTCCAATCGGAGTGCGATTCGTTCGTTCCACCTGTCTATTGCCTTATGGATGCCCAGGCGTCGTGCGTGAATATTGTGTCCCCGAGATCAGGACCTTGATGGCTATGAACGAATTCAGGCACTTCATGCTGGTAGACCCACCAACTGAAGAAAACTGGAGCATTCGTTTAAGCATCTTGTGGCTCCATGGGTTCTGCATCGGCTACTTTCGTGAGGTAGTCTATCATAGCCAGAATATATCGCTTTCCCCTCTTAGTGGCACGTGGAGAATCCAAAGTGTACCTATTCTTTCTTTTGGGAAACCTGTAGGCATAGGTTGCAGAGGTGTGATGGCTGTGGGATGCGTCCTTTTGAAGCTGCTGCAAGTAGTAGAGGTTCGCCAGAAGACTAGTACGTCTGGGATGAGCAAAGGCCACCATCGTCTTTTCCTTGAGGGAGCTAACGTCTCCTTTTCATCCATGTGACTGATTCGCTCGTGAAGCTCTTGAAGGATTGTCTCCACTAACGAGCGAGGGACCCCAGGCGTTTAGGAGATTCGACGTCTTCTTGGTACCATAAAACCTCATCCTCCAGAGAGAGTTTCGATCATTCTTGCCAGACTCGTCTGGCCACCTTGCTGAACGATGTCATCTCTCCCGCTGTAGGCTTATAAAAGGATGTCAGGAACTTCTCGTCTATCAGAGCCGTGTCAGAATCGGTACTCTGCGTATTTCTCCAATGTTGTTTAGTTGACTCGCTCAAAAATATGGTATGCATCACAACGTCAACTGTTTCTGCTGCATTCGGCCTGCAGGACAGTGCATCCGCATTATCATGCCCTTTTCCTTTTCGGCATTGGACTGTAAAATCATATTGCTGCAGATCTTCTTACCAGAGTCCAACTGAACGATCGGTCTCCTTCATTGTTTTTAACCAGGTGAGTGCCCGATGATCAGTTCTAGCAGTGGACATCCTCGCTATCAGGTAATGCTTGGAATGTCTAGCCGTTGAGTGGATAATGAACAGCTCACGTTGCGTTGCGATTTTTTGTCTCATTTTTACTGAGTCTGGTACTCGCGTCGAAAATGACGTGTTTTCTACCTTTATCGTCCCTTTATGAGAGTCCACTACCCACGCCCGCGTTACTCCCATCCGTATCCAGTACAAATACGCTCGATTCGAAGTTTGGCAATATCAGAATCATCGCAAAGCAGAGCACTAGCTTAAATTCTTTAAACGTTTTATCATGCTCTTCTCTCACTTGAAGTTCTTCTTCTTCTTCTTCAGCTTTTCGGTTAATTTATGCGGCAAGCTGGTGATCCTAGCAAAACCTTTAACGGGACACCAGTAATAATTTGACAGACTTAGGAAACTGCGAACCTTCGTCTGGCTGGTTGGTGTAGACCATGTCCTCACTTGTTGTGCACGGTCTTCGGTGAATGCCATCCTATTCGACGAGACTGTATGTCCCAGGGAGGTGACCGAGCGTTGCAGGAAACGGCACTCCTTCGGGTTCAAAGTTAACCCTGCATCTTGCAGACAATCCAACACTAGTTTCCGGTTGGCACTATGCTCCCGAATATTTCTACCAAAAACGAGAATGCCATCCAAGTAGATTATACAATGGTTTGGACATAAGCCGATTAATGTTGTTTGCGTCAGGCGTTGGAAGGTAGCCGCTGCATTACGGATTCCAAAGGACATCGTTCGGAATTCCTAAAGCCCGTAAGGCAGTATAAAAGGTGTTTTTTTCTCTGTCTACTTCTGCCACATCCACTTGCCAATATTCCGACTTCAAGTCTAGGGTGGAGAACCACGTCGACTCATGTAAGGAGTCTAGTGAGTCGTTTATGTGGGGTAAGGGGAACGCATCCATCTTAGTTTCGGCGTTCTACTTCCTATGGTAGATGCGGAGGTGTTAAGTTTGACCAGTCTTGGGCTTATGGTAGATCGGGGTCGCTCATAGTTCCTGCCGCTTCTTGGTTGCGTGCTTAACGAGTTGGCTGAGCGAGGTGGTCTTTATGCCGCAGAGTTTCTCATCTATAAAGGGAGGTCGGACCCCATATCTGAACTGGATGGTCAACCAGCTAACGACCTTGTTTGGAAGACAGCAACTGAAACCACGCTCAGCTGGATGTTGAAGATACTTGGCGCACTCTTCGTCGTCCTCGTCAGCTTTTTGGAAAAGAAGGAAGAAGTCCCAGGTGAGAGTTTGTTCTTCCCGATCGATGAAGAGTTGAGCCAACGTGGCGCAGCATTGATCAATGTCGATATCGTAAGTGATGCCAGAGTCGAATGCGGCAGGGCGGAGGATTAAGTGTATTTTTTGGCACTGGGGATAGAGATAGAGGCTGGATTTAGAGGTATTGAGCCGCTCTTCAAAGTTCATGTGATCCATGAAAGAGACAAAGTCCACCGGCGCTATCACAAGTGTAGGATGGGGCTCGTTGATTTTCCCTTCCCTGGCCTTCACACTCTTAGAGCACAGGGACTGATGTGGTTTTGTCATGTCTATTGATTAAAGTAAGAGGGGGAGTGAGTGAAAGGTTAGGGATGTTGACAACTTCTCAGTCGTGTGGTGTGATTGGTCTGCTCGTTTCTTCTCTGACAGGAACATAGGTTCTACACCCAAATTTCCGCCTCTGGGCCCTGCCAGTACCTTTTCCCATTTGTACTTCAGTAATGTGCATTCTATTCCAACACTTTGGTTTGTTATGACACCAAATAAGGGTTAGGATACTACACTCTATTCCTACTAAATTTATAGTTGGAATGACTTAGAGTGTTTTCTTTCTAGTTTACATTTTTAGGGACACTTTAAGTTAGGTCCTCAAACAATGATTATACTGAAAAAATTTTGACAAGCACTGACAAGATTACTTTGCACGCCGTGTAATGGCTGAGAGTATTCTTTCTAATTAAAGGCGGAAATACTCACAAGATTAAAAATGCGTGGTATGATAGACGATACCATACGCGGCATCTGAGGAATTAAGTGATGTATACTAACGGGCTTGGTTGCACGAAATTTGATTCGTTTTTTAAATCCTACATTTTTGCTAATATGTGCAGCCATGGTTAAGTAAACCACCTCATAGTTTTAGTTATTGGAAATGCCTGTGCGCACTTTAAAATTGGTGCCTGTGGGGCGTGGTCCGTGCGTTACGGCAGTCGCTGCTGGTTATGTTGGTACGAATAATCACCTTTTTTGTGCTGTTCTATAGCACCCTCAGTCTTCACGAAGATCAAATTGGAAAATTTGATTGGTATTTTTAGCAATAAACCTTCCTTAATTCCAATTGATCACCTCAGGAGACAGCAGTACATCGGCAACGCTGAGCACTATGCCATCAGTCACCGCGGGTCTAAACATCCTTTCCTCTATTTGGGTTCTGAGTCCCATGTATTAGGAGCTCTGGATGCGCGAAATGGCTCATTGGGTTGCTATTTTTTTCTATCTACTAACTGAGTTTAGTATGGCGTCAAGCTTTGGAGGAGGATGGGCGGTTTTTGTCCATTAATATCTGTGAGAAATGTAATGTGTGAATAACTGTTTTAACCATTTTCCTAGACCTCTTTACTCTTTCTCTGAGGTATAGACCATTACTGCGGGCGTGGAGTTCTAAGACGGGTCATTTGATTGCGGAATTTCCTTTTAAAAGTGACTCACAGAATGGGTAACGAAATATTCCAGAAAAGAGTAACAATTCTTAGAAATCTAATTTGTGATGAAGGGGAAGGAAGTCTATTTGTCGTTCTAACTGACAAGTTCATAAAAATGGATGTTAGCCCACCTGCATTATCAAGCGTGAAGGCCCTTCCTAGGTATGATGAAATTCGGTTTTTAACTTAACGCACTTAGTGACTTATCACAATATTCCAACCTCATTGCATCCACTGTACAAAGTGGGGTCTTGATCGCGGTTGCTTCTGCTTCTTGTCTACCGAACATTCTTTCGAGGGTGGTGTGGAATATGGGTGCTGATGAACAATCGGAACTCGATTTATCCCACTCATTAATTTATGCACCTACTGACGTTCTTTTGGACAAGTAATTCGTCCTCCTTCAGTTCGGTCATTTCCTTTGCTTGCAGATGTATTCTCTCAAAATCCGTTCTTGCGTGCATCGGCGAAAGGTTAAATAATATACCCATACTCCTTTCGCTGCAATTCGCCAATTCTTCTACTTGGAACGTTGTTGATCTTGCATCAGTACGTTCGTAATTGCTCTGCTTTCGCATTTGCATTTATTTCCTCAGCACCCACTGAGTCTGGTCGAACCAGTGGATGGCAGAATTTTTGTAAAATTGCCTACTGAACAGGTTGCGGTTTTTACACTGGAGAAGAATACAAATAGTCTAAGATCTGCCTACAATGTAAATGATGTGAGTTCTTTCGATCCCTCAAAAACCCTTCTCCTAGGTCACAGCGTTTGCGGCTCATCGAGATCAGACAATCTGTCTCAAGCAGTCGAGACTTAAGGTGGGTGACTATAATTAAGCTACTTGGCAGGGGATTTAGGAATCAAAGATGCTAGAATTAGTTAAATCTGTTAGGAGTTGACAACTTGGTTGTTAATGGCCAAGATGATGGTCATTCGAATAAATCTGTCATATTACTCCCTATCGTTTGGATGGTTGGTAATTTTAGTTCTGTGTGGTATTTTACAATTCTTTGCCAAAACCAAGATCCGTTTCAGAGGATCAAGAAATAGCATTGATTCTGGTATCAGTTAGGTGCGCAATTTACAGCTTCTTTTACCGATACCATCAATTTTTCTTGTGTAGCACTTCAACAACGTCCAACTCACCGTGATCGATGCTCACTCGGGTCTGACGGTGGCATGGGACTTTCCTGAATTCTTGAATCTCTCAAGACATCATGGTGGGATTAAGGAGGTAGGTTGATACCACTTTTCATGCTTTGTCATTGAATGAATAAAAGCTTCTTTATTTCCGCCCTTTTTCGTTATCAACAGGCCGCCGTTCTGCCAGATCAGAAGGGTCTTCTGATTTTCACCGAGGACCACGCTGTTCAGGTGTTTTCAAAAAAAGGTAAATAAATGTTTGAAATGTCGAAATGGAGGGGTTATTTTGAGCTAAGTATAGTAATTGTTGTTGGGCTTTACTGCCAATATTTTTCCATCGTTAAATCCACTAATTTTGATCATAGAAGGATTGTTTCAGTTAAAATTGGAATATTTTTAATGGTCTTGTTACATCGAGATTCGTTTTTCATGTTTCACCTTTTTTCGGATATTTATTTTATTTTTTGGAAGGTATATCAGCTTCATGTGCCTTGAATTATTTCACCAGTTTATCATAAAGATAAGTTATGTCAAGCTGGATCATTTAACACCATATGGTATTCGTGATCCCATTTTTATCATTCCCAACACTATTTATTACTAAGGTGGTGATCCATCATTTGGATTATTCCTGAAGAGTTTTACTTTGTCTCCTGAGTGCCTCGTTAGCACAAATGTAACTGCTGCGTGGAAACATTTCGATCTCTCAAATAGTTTTCATGTATGTCTTTCCGTTATCGTTGGTGAAGACGCAGTGCAAAATAACTACTTGTAACTACAGTTTTGTTATAATTGTCCCTTCCATAATGTAGATGGCTGTAAAAATGGTGCTGCTTACACCATGCAGGGACAGAGTTCTGTGTTGAGGCTATAAATTCATCCTCATTGGCATATTTGACCAGTATTGGATTAGGGTTTCCTCTCTGTGTCGGATATGAATAGATTTAAATATTCGAAAATAGTCGTACTCTTGTGGCAAATTCAGGGTGCCATGGAGGGTCAGTCGACCATAATTACGACCACGAGTAATGTACAGAGTTTCCCGAAATTTCTTCTCGGCCTCATGAATGTGGGTACTGAATGGTCCTCCGGAAAACTCACTTTGATTGTTAAATCTCTCCGAGTTTCAGAGCATGAAAATCTCTATGATAGTACGCGCAAGCTGGGCATGGGAGTATTTAATTCCAATTCCGGTGGCTCAAAGACTTGCCATAACCACTTTTCTGCTTATTATTTTTCAAATGTTCATAATACTTAACATGCCATTGTTTGATGCAAAAGAAAAGTGATAATCGCTTAGAGGTCGGAGAATGATAAGGAGACTACGGAGGATAATGTAGATGGGGACTAGGCAATATCTCATTCTAGAGTGAGGTGAGGCCTTTTCATGGGTGAGTTTTGCGGCTCTATGGAGTGTTGTCCCATTCGCATAGGACTTCCTTCCGACTGCTTCACTGATAGATTAGTCTTGACAGGTTTTGGAGCAATCCCCTTTACACACGCAATTGTTGGTTTTCAGCAAGGTGTTCGTGGTGGAAGATTCTGTCTGCAGTACAGCACGCATTCACAAAAGCATCTTTTTAAGACGAAGCAGGGCTTCGGAAGTGTGGAATATTGAGTGCGTCGTTTGGGGAGAATCACTTATATGTTCTTTCGCTTAAGGGACGTTGGAATAAAAAGCTATGACTTATTATGAACCACTCAGACAGCAGGCTAGGAAGGAGGAGTTATTTACGGGGTGAAAGAAGTGGAAAAAAGTCTTGGAAGTTAATTGTCACTCGTCAACGCATGCTTAACCACCATAGTTTTTAGTTCTTAGTTGATTTAGGTGTCAATGAATTGTTTGCTATCATTTTTGCTCAACATTGTGAAAAGTCCTACGTTCTTGACACTTCACTAATCAGGTGATCAGCTTTGGCTAAGAGAGGAGTCATTGGCCCATATAACGTCCGTGGAAATGGTTGATCTTCCGGTCTCCGCTCAGGAGGCGACTATGCAGGAAGAGTTCGGCCAAAGTAATGGTGAGTATTTAGGTCAAATTTTTTAGGTAGCTTAGACCTTTTGAAGGAAAAAAAAATGCATTTAAAAGTGGAATTATAGTTTCTTTAGCCCTTCTTGTAATGCGGAAAAAATAATTTCAGCAATAGTCTCTCCATAAAAAGCTATTACTTTTGTTCCATTTGATCAACGTATTCTTTGTATCAATTTTCCTTCTTAGCTGGAGTTCTGGAACTTTTCATTAACCGGATTAGGTCGCAGGTGCATCAACTTTCCGTAAGTTGCCACAAGTAGCTTTCTGACGAATGTCTGTCTGGCTAAAAGGAATTTAAGTCCAGTGCACACTTTCCTCCCACTTTCCGTGACTTCAGGTTGCCTTCAACTCCTGGTGGAATCGTAGATCGATGGCAACGTTGGATGGTCATGGAGACGGCTTCACTCCACTTACTCGCGACGTCCACAATCTTCACAAGATGCTTCTCACTGTCACGTCTGTTGGGAAGGTCTGTGTGTACTGCCATTTAATTTGCCTCTTGTGCTACCTCGTCTTGACTCCCCGTCCCCCTTTTGAGGAACATTTGTTTGAGTAACAAAATCCGAGTTCAGGGGAGTTAAGTTAAACAATTATTAAGTTTGTTATCATGGGACATAAAGTAATCTATTGTCTCCATCGTAGTTCCCATTTACTTAGTTGCGGACTCTATATTTGATTATTTTAGTATTTGATATTATTTAGCAATAAATGACTAAGATTCTCGGTCTAGTATTGTGTCTGTAAGCTTTATTCAACCATTTATTTTCCGATTCACCCAAATATATGCCCATTTTATCAACAAATCTGTTTTTTGTCAGCTGATCTATGTGTCGAAAAATCCACCTGTTTACTCATTCGCCCCTCCATCAATCCACTTAACCACTTGTCTATTGTCTTCTGTTAGTCTTTCTTTCCATTCTTCTTGTCTACTCATCTCAACGGTCAAGTTATATTTTTTCTATAAGAAAAACAACAACAAGGATAATCTTTTCCTTTCCTCTCTTTAGATCTTTGGAATCGAGAGTTCTCGGGGTCGTATCGTCTGGGAGTACTTTGTGCCAGGCACCCGCCCGTCCAACACTTCAGTGCAACACCTCTTCGCGCAACGCACCACCGGTCATTTTCCCCTCACCCCCGTGGCCTGTGTGCTTCTGGAGACACAGGAACCGCCAACGCTTCAATCCGTCCTGCTCTACCTCGATCCCATCCTCGGTGTGCCATTGAATGCGCAAACGCTGAAGCCGGCGGCGACGGTGGAGGACGCGATGGTCCGACTACCTCGCCGCATCAAACTGGCGGCCCTGGTACCAACAGCAGCATTGAGGCCGTTATCAGGATCGAATCCGACGGTGGAGGGAGAAGCGGAAGCCGAGGCGACGAACCATGTGCGACCTCTCTGTGTTGTAATGGAGGATCTCTCTGTAAGTGTTATTTCTGTATACAAAGCTGCTTGAGCAATTGAGGTATCTAATCTAGGTTATTATCACATATTCATTCATCAACTCATTCAACCGACATCCATCTACTCGAGATTTTTCTAATCATCTGCTTCTTTATCATCCATCCGATCATATTAATTTTTATTGGTCCACTTAGATGAAAATTGCAAATGAGTGTCATCATAAACTACGTCTGTCAATCAGGTTCTCGTCATGCCTATTTTCAATGCCACTTCATTTAATTTTGTTAGTGAATTCAAAGGTCTCTTTGATCCCTCGTCTATCCGCCTGATTATTCTGTTTCTATTCGCTTCGAATTCATCTGTCTATTCATCTTTGTTTTATCTGACGGAATATTCACGATCGCTTTTGATCCAGGATTTACCCATTCATTATCCATCAGCCACTCCTGTAGCACTTGACAAATTTGCTGCAATTGTCACATGTAGTGCTCTGATTTTGTATTTAGGCTAGGTATCATGAATAGGTGATGTCAACATCTTTCTCGGCGCCTTCATGCAGCTAAGTGCGCAAATTTTGAGTTCTACTGACATGCAAAAATAAGTCTGATGTATGAATAGCTGCTTTTATTTTTGTCTCTATTCCTCTTTAACAGGTGATGTTACTGCCTCCCGCTCTATCCACCATCAATCCCAGGAATTTACTCCCATCTCACGGTCTCTACATTTTCGCGTTGAACACCGAGCCGGCCGCTGTCTCGGGTTACCGTGTAATGGCGATAGCTAAGACTACCACAGCCCTCACCGCTCAGCCGCTATGGCATATGCACCTCTCTTCAGAGGACTATCCGCAACGCATCCTTCAGGCCGCGGTACATCCCCTTAACGGTTAGTTACTATGTTTGCTCGCAACCTAGTTGGGCTTTTAGGGCTTATCCAAGTGCCCACCTGATTATTTTTTCATCCATGTATTTACTTATCATGAATTCATTTACCCATTTTGCGTTCATCGACGTCAATTCATTTTATTTATTAAAGATTTTGACCATTCTTTGCTTTATCAACTCATCCGACTAAACATTCATCCTTCCATTCATTCTTTCATCCGCAAATCCAATTGGGGCTAACTCACTTCTTCAGCTCTTTAATCTGTTTAAATATTTTTTAAACAATTCCGGATGTAGCTGTATACCCATTTATTTCATCCAACTCTGTCAGTTTGCCCGTGCGTTGGCAACCCTGCCTAGTGCATTTCCTCAACCGGTTTCCCTTGGTTCTCTCCTCGCAGAGCATGTCTACTCCATTGGACGAGTGCTGGGTGACCGAAACGTGCTGTACAAGTACGTCAACCCCAATCTCCTTGCGGTGATGACCGGGGGAGTGAGCAATGTAAAGAGCGGCTTGCCATTGATCTCCCTCTACCTCATCGACACGGTGGCGGGACAGATAATTCATTCTGTCGTACACCAACGTGCCTCCGAACCCACGAGTTTGGTGGTCTCTGAGAACTGGGTCCTTGTGAGTTCTACTGCCATCTTTTATCCACTATCCTAGTTTCATCCACGTATCCATTCCAAAACCATTTGTCTCAGCTCCACTCGTTTATCCCCCTTTTTTTTCAATCTCAAATCTCTATTCATCCGCAGTTCACCTACCAATTTATCTGTTTCCCCTCCATTTATTCCGGGTCCATTACTCAAGCAATTGATCGACTCTTCCCGCCTTATAGTACAGTGTCTATAACCAACGCTCTCTCCGCACCGAGTTCACTGTCATGGAGCTCTTCGAGCCGCTTCACACCACTGAGAATCTGGTTCCCAGTCCTTGGGACATTTTAGTGCATAGTCTTGTCCCTCCGTCTTCTTCCGCTAAATCTGACGACCACAATCGTCAGTTTTCCTCCCTTCGTCGCGCCGCTCATTCTGCCCACGGTGGCAGCGATGGGGTATTAATACCTGACATCCTTCAACGTGCCTTCATTCTGGGCAGTCCATTGCGTTCTGGCGCGCTGGCCGTCTCACTGACTGAGCGTGGAATCACTGCCAAGAGCCTCCTTTGTGGGTCCAAATAATTACTCTTGTGTTTCCTTGATACAGACTTTATTTTTGGAATCGGATTCCTAAATTATTCCTACAGTAATGGCGTTGTGAGGTCCGTAAATTAACGGATGTATCATGATATCAGATTATTGAGTCCACATGTTTAAATATGCAGCTGAATCCGACATTGTTCTGTTCCATAGTCCTTTCCTTTCATTCAAGCGTCGTCGTAGATGCTCCTAGTGGTTGCTATTTGCGTTGTGGCCTTAAAATTGCCTACAAACCAGGGGTGAAGGCCGTACGTCGCGCCAGAATGGTACTTTGGTTATCTGTCATACGAAGGATGGGCAGAAGAACATTAATGGAAGGCTGTTAAGGCCTGCGTAAAACCATAAATGCTAAAGAAAATGCCGTTTCCAGTTCTTATTTACAAATTATTAGCCTTGAGGTAGTGTTGCTAAGTATTATCCAATATTTAAGCAGTTGACAATTTTTAAAACCTCTTTAAGTTGGTTTGGAGACGGGGAACCTCTTGGAGCTACCCAAGTCCCTGGTGGATCCACGACGCTCGTTGGACGTAACACCGGAACTTCAAGAGGAGGGTTTAGAACCTTACGCTCCAGAGCTCCCGATGAGCACTCTCGCCGTCATCTCGTATAATCTTACACTGGAGCGAATTCAGCGTATCTACACCGCACCCTCAGGACTGGAATCTACCAGTCTCGTCTTTGCTCACGGACTAGGTCAGTTGGAAGTAGAAAATGTCTGCTTGAGTTAGTGGATGTGATTTTGTGCAATTTATGCTCATGGATGGATTGTCACGATTTTTTTTTGTTGGTTGTAGACCTCTTTTTCACACGAATAGCTCCTTCAAAGACCTATGATATGTTGCGTGATGATTTTGACTACTACTTCATCTCAATGATCGTAGTCGGTATGACAGTAGCCTCCTACGTGACTAAGCACTTCGCTACTCGACGGGAGTTAGCCCGAGCTTGGCAGTGAATAATACGCACACCTCTTTTTGTTGATCTTCTTGGCTGTCTGTTTATGTGTTTATTTGTTTCTCATCCGTCTGTACTCAATAAAAGGACTACCAGTTTGTTAGTTTTTTTGCTTTTTAATGAGGCAGGCCTTACCTATCCTCCAATTCAGGTTTGTTAAATTACCGCATGCTGTCATTTGGTTAGCACAATAGTTTGGCTTGCAATTAATCAGGTTGAGATTGAAAATTTGTACTCTTCACTCTTCTGCTGAGACCATTCTCGCTACTTTTGTGAGTTAGAAGAATGTCGAAACTTAAGATCACGATCATGCATAACTTTCAATGCATGTATGACAAATCTTTTTCATATGGACGATTCAGATTTCTCCACTGTTGGTTTTTTACTTAGATGTCGGGACTGAAGTACTTATCAAATGTCAAAGGGGATTTGATAGTTTCCCTTTTGTTGCAAGTTTTTTTGGATGCCTCCTACTTGTGACACCTTTGTCCACCATCCATCCAGTGAAGCAGCTTTGGATTTTCGAGTTATGCCATCAGTGCAATTAAAGACGTCAGGAGGCATACCATTCTGAAAGTAGCCTTGTACTCAACAAACTGAGGGGTTGAGGGATGAGCGACATACGGATAGAGTGGACTGAGGTGGCGCGCAACGTCGTCGGTACAAATGTCACTTTTTTCTCCCTTGTAATTACAAAACAAAGGAGTTTCCAAAATTAGGAAATGGCGTTTCGTATCCGGTTTTTGGTTCCTCGTTGGATTACGCGGTACCTGTGGTAATTAAACATCAAAGAATGCTTAACGGAAATGGTGGGGGAAGGATTAAATTCTTGTTTATAAGCTGGCTGTTCAAATCAAGCCGAGACATTTTAGCACATTTGATATGGAAAATGGAATAGATTCGAGTAGTGAAAGCTACAATTCTTTAAAAACATAATTATTTACCAAGTTTACAATGCTTTTGGGATGCTATAACATGGGAAGTTTGGTTGATGATTGACCCGCCTACTGGGAGCTGCCTCGCATCATTGTTAGTAATTGTTTTGTTAAAATTGCCAAATTTCTTGAGTGATTGTGTTATGTTCAACGGTCCCACAGAAAACTTCGTCTCTTGCCCGAGTCCATGGCAGGCGTTCCACACAGTAAATGCTCCTTCACACGAATGAATACTGTTTTTGTAGGGCAAGAACATCCATGGCTGGGGTTGCCATTGAGGCATGCACGATCGGCATGGAAGCCTTCATGCCATTCAAACGTCCTGCCGGTAGACGGCTTATTGTGCTATCACCGTAGTGTGAATGAAGCTTTCCGTACGTGCGCGTTACCACTGTTGACGACCATCTAGATTGACAACGGGATTGTTGGAGGTACATTTCGCTTCCATTCCACAGTTTCATTAGGGTGCCATTTAGATACCTCCCAGTCATCGGTTTACGCATTGAATTTCAAATCGGAGGGAGTTAATCGGTCCGACTATGCCAACAGTGCTAATTTAAAGACAGTGTATACCAAAAATTTACATGGTCTTAACATCTCTCTTTTTTTTGCAAATTCAGCAAGGCATAGCAAATAAGGTAATCCCGAAGCGTTACCACTCTTAGCTACCCATTATCTGCTTACTCACAAAGCTGTCAGGAGGACTTAATAAAAAGTAGTTTTTTTGTGCAACTTTATTCATAAGCACAAAGCATACAGTTGACAGGATGAAACAGGTTGTATTGGACTACTAGGAACGCAATAACAACATACGCGTTTACGCATGGAAGACTGGTGAGCATCATACGCTCCGGTTTGACAAACCCACCTTGTGCTCACTCCCCATTGGCTGTTCGCCCACAAGGCCATTCACTGAGTGTCCAATCACAGCAACGGACTTCACTGTGCATGCCATAGTTCCGTTGGGCTTGCTCACTTTGCAGACGTAGAGCAATGGTGAGTGTTGTAGAATGCCTATTTATACTTGATTATAAAGTTGAATAATTGCATACTTTCAAAATTACCCAAGTGTCGAATTTCAGAAGAAGAGTTTGTCTCCTCATCTACTTGAGACACCTCATGTTTGTCAATTATTCACATGGATGTGGTTAAAGATTAGTGAATATTTGCGCTATGCACAACTAGTATTCATCAATCATTCAAAAAATCAACCCATACAACACTTCTCTACTGATGCTACAACAACCTATTCAGCATTAAACCATCTAGTATTTATCCGGTATCCATCTAGCATCCATCCACCCATTCATAACAGTTCTATCTCTCCACTCAACAACTCTTCCATGATCTTTTTATTTATTCCAGAACCATCTATTTATCTTACCCTATCCTCACGTCCATTCCCATCGTATCGCAAACTTCCGCCTCGAATCTATCGATCTGTTCTTTTGCGATAGGTCATTCCAGCTTCATTCAACTCTGCCTCGAATTCCTTCACTCCTCTATTGACTGATTTATCCATTCATTTGTGCATAAAATCATATATTTCTTTATTCATCACTTTTTCTTTTACTCATTCCAGCTACAGCTGTCCTTCCACACAGTTCTCCCACCTTATTATAAATTTTAATTATAATTACTTCGTTACTTCCTCGTAATAATTCATTTATCTTTATTGGTAAAAAAACTGGATTAAATAAGCTCAACAGATCTTGGTCACTTTCTTCTTAAGACGAAACTGATGTACTTTTTCGATGGTATTCGTCAAGTTGACTACGTTATCGCCTTCCAATTTTCCTCACCTTCCGTTGAAGAGCCATTTCAAGACTTCCTAATCAACCTCCTCCAGCATGGCATCGACATTGAGGTGAGCGAAAGGGAGGGCGTGATCACATCCATTTATTGTCAAATAGCGGATTGCTTTAGAGAACTACGACCGCTTATAACATCGCTACTAAGATATTTTAAAGTGACATTTTTCCCATCAACGAAGTGCTTTTGGTCTAGTCGCAAATCCTGGGGAAGGAAATCCATGTCGAATAAGGATGCCTAGTTTAGCAGTTTTGGAATTACAAATAAACCGACAAGGCTCTACTATACGCCATAGGGTAGATAGTTGTTTAAAGGTAAGGTATTCGAAGGACAAACATTTCAAAGACGGTCAGACAGTTAGTGGGGATTCTGACCGTGGTGGTTCGTACTCAGCCCACAGTCTCTATAGCCATTCAGGGAACACGCCTTCAACAAGCGACACGCCTGATCCGAATTGCTATTGTACACACGATCACTTGCAGTTTCGATGAGCCAGTACTGTACTGGTAAATCTTTTAATGACGAAGCCTCCAAGGTGTTTAGTTAAATGTTGGTATAAGCGGAGACTATGTAGAAAGATAAATCCACTTTGCACTGTTTGAAATTATCATTTCGGAAGGGTCAGTTTAAACTAAACGCTATTATCTCCATGATATTACCAATCTCCTAACACATCTGGGAGTATTTGGGATTCTGTCAAAGCATTAAGGTAGTTAAGGGGCTGGTGCGTGAATCAGGTATCTCTCATCTGGAAGGAAATGAAATAAGCACTCAAAAGGAAGTCCTTAATATGAATGAAAGCAAAAAGTGTACAAGCAAGGCTTGGTATACTCCCTATTCAATTGTACTACTATCGCCAAAACTTCCTCTTCGCTCGGTCGAAGGAATATATTATTTCAATACCGCTGATTGGGTTCAAGCAAATTAATTTCCTTGCCTGTTGACTTATCCGGAAATCTAGCCGTGGTCCATCAAAGGAACTACCCACGAGCAACTTCCTTTTTGTCCAATCAGAAATTAGCCGCCTGCTACCTCCGCTGTATTCGTGCTCTCCTTAAATAAGAAACCCATTTTCTGGAAAATTTACAGAATCGATAACATTGCCCTATTTTTTGTCAAATTTTTTTTGTAGTTGTGAATGTTCACTACACCACACTTCTTATATGGATGGACGAGAAGCTATTCCATCGGCTTAATAAAGAGTGAAGAGATTACGTATTTAAATACGCATTTAAACAATCGGTATTTTACAACGTAGACTCCTCCTCTTTGATTGTTATCTCCCTCACTCCCTATAATACCTCTCCTGCTTTGATCAGAACGGCAATTCGAGTAAATTGTTGTCAAACGCAATACAGAAATGTCGATGATATGGCGAATTGGCATCGTAGACCAAATGCTTCCCTCTAGAAGAAGCCACACTTTTGACTTGGTTAAGATTCCAAAATATTACATCTTGTGCTACATGGTTGTGAAAGGATTCATCTGGGCAACAGTGTCAAAATCGGGAAGGTCTTCGACATCAAGCATATTCTGCGCCTCAGTCGTTTTTAGTAATACGACCTGTCCACAAGCCACATAATGAAAGGGAGTGGCAGCTTCCGACTACTGCATAAATCATTGCGCTCAGAGGCACAGAAAACTTATCCCTGAAATTGATTTTGGTTTCCTGAAATCTTATATGGTTCCACTTCGTGGAATGAAAAATTAGGACCACATCGAAAACTGACTCTGTTATAACCGTACTTGAAGACTTAATAAGGCTTATTAAGGTAGAAGAGGGGTTATCATTAAAGTAGAAATGAATGAGAAAGCCACGGGCATGAAATGGAGGCTGTAACTGTCAAGATGTTTGCCGAAATAGTAGAGATTGAGGAGTCGGGTTAGCTTTTTAAGTACCCAATAAGTGAACAGTAAGTCCATCATTTCCAGTTACTATTGGAACTTGACTTAAACAGCATTACAACTTCTTCAGGATTGAGTGGAATAACCTGAAATTTTAGAGATTATTCAACTTCAGTGGAATTGAACACTTTGTTTTAATCTTGTTCCCTTTGGAGGCAGTCCTATGAGAGTAATATTGCTGGGCTTCTAGCGAGATATTGGAGATCGCAGTCTAGATGTTTCCAATTCTGCTTCTGTAAGTATTCTCCTACGGAGAACACAATAAGCCTGTTTTTGTGTTGTTTAAACTAGGCTTAGTCTCTCTGTGACAGACGCTTCGTCGCAGTCGCAGTGATTGCGATTTGACAAAAAAGCCTTTTTCAAGTATGTGTGCCGACGGTCTCAAAGGGGAAAATTTGTTTGTTACACATGTAATGTTGGATTTAGTGAGGGCGGTAATGACAAATGAGGCGATTGCATGCATAGGTAGGTGGGCGATAGCTCTTGACCATCAGCGTTTACCCAGGAAGAGGAATATTAGCAAGTAAAAATCCCACAAATTAGGTAAAATGAAGACAAAAAAACCGACTGCAATTAGGGACTATTTAAGTAAACCACAAATTCTAAAGATGCTGGCGGTTAAAGTCGGTAGATATCAGAGTGAGTGTAAAAACGATAACACGTAAATAGACAGACTTTTTCTTTATTTGATCATAGTAGATTTACTGCGACACAATATTATTTCTACACCCCTGCAAATAAAATAGACATTCAAGTCAAACCGGGACCTCTTTGGTTTTACACAAACAGTGCGATAATGCAAGGGGTAAGAGGAGCATTTACTTTCCAGTCAATCCTCTACTACTACACATGCATGCTTGTTACAAAGTAAAAATTTTGCCTTGAAAGCAGCTTCGGTGTATGAAGATTCATCCGTATAATTGAACCATCCTAGGACAGCATGCTCTGCTTCTTTGTTTGTCGAATGAGGAAAGTTGACCTGCTACCTACCCTCATAGCAAATGATTCTGTTTATTGCTTTCACGGAAAAAAAACAGGCTCTTACGTAATATTAGGACAAGTCATGCGCTGATCAAATGTTTCACACTCTTAATAAATCTTCGGGGAGAGTGGTTATACCGTCACTGACAAAATATCCTAATGTCTTACTACTGATAAATAACCGAATAATCATTAAACTGTGCTTAATGTCTTCCCTAAGGGTACGTGTCCGCGGTTTTAATATCTTTTGTAGAAAAATTCGTTCATTGCCATAAGCTGTCCCATGCGCGCGCATGCATCACCACTATTGTCCGCCATCTTCGTTAAAGGTGTACGGGGTAGTCCCTGAAATATGTGCCTGCAACAACAATAACTTGACTTTTAACTACAATTATGTAAAATTAAGATTCTGGTTTGACTTAAACGCCCTTGGTAGCAAAAAAATTCCAAATCAACCAACAAATGCAGCATTTTCAATGGTTTGCTTCGGACATTCTACATTCTAGGGGGCAAAACTCATTTTATTTTGGCAGCTATAAAGTGGACCTCTTCTATCATAGATCGAGGAGGCCAATGGAGAACCACCAGTAGAATTCAGTGCAAACTCAAATGTGTGCACATTCGGCAGGAATAAGCTGATCTTTGCGAAGCTGCACGTCAAGTGGGAAACTCTACTTCAAATTGCTGAAATTTTACACTTCCAGAAAGCAATCGTAAGTTCTTCCTTCTGCTTTAAATCAAAGAGGCCAAATTATGTCTTTGATATTGACGTATCTAAACTTGATATATGTGTGTTTTTCTATGCTAGACGTGTTTATGATTATATTCGCTTAAATGGAAGGCTGAAGTACCGCGATAGAGTAGTAGTTGGTGCTTACTTTGAAACATAAAATGTTTAACCAAGTTGATAAACAATTGTTACTCTTTTAGCGAATGGAAATAAACAGAATTTGCACCTATTTATAAGCAGCAGGAATTGTCTCTCAGTCTCCTTGAAGTGTAATTCCTTCGAAATGTACCTTAAGAGGCCTACTACCAATATAATTCTCTGATGTTTTTAACTCGGGGTTTGATTACGAGAATGCTTAAGCTTCCACATATTATGCTTTTTTTTGACGGCATAGCCTTCGGTCCATGCGAGTACCCTCTTAGCCCTCCCGTGCATCAGTAATATGCCTTCAGCCACACTACCGTGACTACTTACGAATTCAGGGAAGGCTCAGGGCGCTACACATAGAAGTAAAATGAGCAATGGGCATCATTACATAGAGCTCAAATTTTCCCTGCCTTCAAGAATTTTACAGAAAGTATATTAGAATTTTTAAAAATAAAGCAAATTTTTCATACATGGTAGAGTCAAATCCTTCTAAATCTTCTGGTCTCTATGCACTCAAAACTTTAGGTAATGTTGAACTTATTCAACCGAGGTATGGTTTTGAGAATCTCTGACGTAGCATCGAGCACCACCAACCTGTTGTCTCCTATGGATTATGTTATATGCATAGTCTAGAGGTTGCAACCATTGTTTGCCTGCTAATCTTTAGGTAGGAAAGCATGATTAACTTAACCATCTCTTGGACGTTACCATCAGCGCTTGACGTGATTATTGTACTGCTTTGGTTGTCAAAGAGTAACTTGGGTTGACTGTGACGAGGCTCACGTAAGGTTTTTTCGTCGAGTCGAAGAGGCATCCAAATCCGGTGGCGGTGTCACCTCTTATTCTTCTTCCCTCGATATTTCTTCCTCATTGTTTAAGACTGGTAAACGTCCTAGAGTAGAAGCATTTCGTATTTCAATTGCTTTTCCTAATACTTTTGCCCGAAAGCCTATAAATGTAAATAGTCCTTTTGCATACGTTTTAATTTATTCAAATCTAGCTCTACTTCATCAGTAACCGCAATCCGAAAATTGGGACCACATCAACTTGCACAATACGAGTCGTAGCAGCTCCGACATACACGGCAGCTAATTCCTCCCATGATAAGTAACAGGAATGACATGAAGTCCTGATGGCGCCACAGATATCGCGTAATTTACTGAAATAAATAACCCCTTCTACTTAAACATCGTCCTCAGCCTTCTTTGCGGTCAATCCTTCACTTTAGCTGAATTCTTTTAGTAAATTGTGAATAACTGAGGAAAGATAATGAGAGTAGCATTTGTACAATTGTTCGGAATTTCTAAATATCTCATTTTTGAGAAGTAGGACTGAAGCCTGGATGTTGTTTGACGGGGAGGATATTTCCTGAGTACATCTTGTTTATCCCTCAAATATCCTACTGGATTCATTGGAACTTGGTCTATACCACCATTGTTGTTCACTGCGTAAAACTCAAAAATTTGCAGCTTGTACAATGTTGACGCTGATTCGTTAATTTACACCCTTAGGGCCAGACCCATCTACAGCAGATGTCTTCCTTTTGTAATTCCTAGGTTTGATAACCCTCAACTGAAATCGGTAGTTTTCTTCAACAATTTAGCCAGTCTTTACCACCAATTTTGCACCCGAGTCCTCTCTGAGGACGTAATAAGGTATACGATTCTATATAATACATTATTGTAAATAAACGGGGGAGCTGACATGATATTACGACGACTGACAAACGATTAAAGGACTGGTGTAGATAAACATATCATTTCAACAAATATAGAATTGCTTCAACTTACAACTGATACAAATGTCGTTGATTTCAGGTGTGTATCCAACGTAAAATAAATCTCGAATGAACAGATGAGTGGCCCAGTTGTTTTAATAAAAGTATTTTTTGTTTAGGAAACTGGAAGTGGGATAATGCATGAATCCTTTTCAGTTTCCAGAAAATCCGCGTGAGTAATCGACACCTTATTAAAGAAATCCATATTTTTGAATGACGTTGTTGGATAAATGCCTTATCAAACGTCAAACGATCAAGTAGTTTGTTAAACCGTCGCGCTGAAACTTGTTGCAACTTGCTGTATGCAGTCTATTGTTTCGGTAATCTTTGATGCGCCATCCACCAGTTTCCACTTATTTCAAATGCATCTTTGTATTGACAGCTGTCAGTTGAACAAGCTTAGTAGATGTGATTTGAGATTGTCTACTTTACAAACCTAATTTAACTCTCTCCTCAAACTGCGAAATCTTCTCAAAGGAGTTGTTGAATGGCATGCGAAAAGAACACGGTAAACGATAACAGAGCTAACCGTCCAAAAGCTAATGGTCTCAACCATTTGCCTTCAGTGTCGAAAGATGCATCACCAAAAAATGTCTTACATTTGAGAGAAAAATCCTCTGTTAATGACTACAAAGCAGAATCAAATGTAGCCACCGATAGAGAGGGTGATTGAAGATAGAAGTGTCAAGCACTTAGAACAGCATTACATAGTGTAGCTCGAGTGATGACAAAAGAAGTTCTGGCATCCATGTCGCTAAGAGAACGAGCTTCGCCATTATACAATCTGAAATGATAGCAGATTTTAATCACTGTCACTTTGTCTTCCTTTCTCTCGATTCGTAAAGGCGTGCTGTACACCTGAAATAGCTTGACGTCTGACTGATTGACCGACTTATTCACCTACTTGTTGTGAGAAGCGGCTTTGCAATGGATCATTTGCTGAGCAAACAGACATACATTTAGTTATGCCTAAAGGATCTGGCGTATTAGGACCCAAATTAACCACTGAAGTGATGCATGCACTACCTCGTTCATGGGTGTGTGGCAAAGCAAAGGCCGAAATCTTCACTGGGAATTGCTTGCTAAGGGGAAAGTAAGTACAAATGAGATCTGGGTGGTGAATGAAACCGGAAGTTGTTCGTTAAAATAACTTTAGAAGCAAGCAGAATCAGTGGACTAGTGAGGGAGTGCGAAATGATTCCTCTTCTTCCGAGACGGCACAAAGCACGACCTCAGACGCTCCTGATGACACATGGCAAAATTGAGGCTTGACGAATATCACATCACAGTTTTGAATAAATTGAAATAAAATGGTCGAATGGATAATATGTAACATCTGCCACTTTAGCAAACACTTATTTAAAGGGGTTTCTGTATTTATCTAAGTCTCTTCAAGAAAACACGCGAATTCTTCTGGTTATCTTGTACGATAAGAGAGAGCATACTGTGCATGCAGATATCAGAATCTCATTTTTAACTTCTAGGTTTAAAGGGTTTTCAGACAAAGAAAATCATTTCTTTACCCCATTGGAAAGAATATTGGCCGCGGAATACATTCTCAATCAGTTTTTCCATCCAAACCTTGAAGATTGCGTATGTTTGTCTTATTTCTGCAATTTGGTTGAAGTCACTTTCAAAACATTCTTACAAGCTGTTCCTACATACTTTCGCGTTTTCTATTATTATAAAAATGGCAAAGTCAACAATCGTGTCGTAAAACTACTTTCGCCTTACAAAAGAAACTGCCTTTACAGTGTTGGTAATGTACGATTTTATTTATTGAAGTAAAGGTGGCTGTAAAATATCTACTTGAATTGTACCCAACAGGGTGGATTAGCATCCTAGTATAGGTTTGGTATTGTAAGCAGAATGCGTATGTGCGTGTCGATACGTCCTTAAACACGAGAATTGAAGGAAGCTTCTGCGAAGTTGCTTCTTATGGATGGATAACCTGAGATAAAGGGTCTGCGAGTCTGGATAATTGAGTTCCTATTTAGCTCTCCCTGATTGTCACGTATGCAGAGGTGGAATACTCCAACTGTACTAATAACCACCCTAAAATAGTTAAGTTTAACCAGTTGTTATAAGTACGCGAAGCTGAAATTACACCGAGAAGGACTTCGTCTTCGCTAGCATGCTCCATAGTCATCAGTCACGTACTCGCTGACTGTGCCTCAGTTTCGCATTCATTGCGTCAGTCAAGCAAGGCTTCCCCTCTGAAGTCTTGTCTATCACTTAGTCGGCTGAAGGTCCCACTAGAAGTCAGGGGCTCACGCATAAAATTTAAGATTATAAAGTTGTCGACACATCTGTAACCAGTAACGATCCAAGTTATAACACGGCTAGGAAAGGACTTCCTTAACAAAGTACAAGTAAGTAAACCTTCATCTCTTCTGATTAATTAAGAAGTCCAGTTTGCCAAAAGAGGCACCTCTTCTCCCAAAATCGTGCAGCATTGGGGAGCTCTTCAAGAAGAAGGTTATTCTCGCAACATTTCCACTGCATGAAGTGAGTTCGCAGAGCTGTGGTAGCCCTCTATACGTAAAGCGTTTGCAGTTCACTGAAATTTATCTTTTATTAACTAATAAACAAAAAAAATATTTTTGGAAATATTGCGGAAAAACATTAATTTACATTACACATTTCTAAAAGCCGAAGGAGAATTCAATCCGTTCAGAACTGATGATGAATTGGGCCTCAGGGAGAAAAATCCTCACGCTCCAAGGCTTTAATTCAATAAGGTACACGTGCATTTCTCTTATGTTTTATTTAAAAACCACTTTCTGTATATTCACAAATCCCTTCAAAATCATACCGAAACTACTCTGATAGGTTTAGTTTAAAGATATGTACTCTCTTCATAACGATTCGCTATCATGCTAATTGTAGAGACTACTTCGGCGAAAAGGTTGCATTTGGCTTCGCGTGGATCCAATTCTACATTTGGAGTTTACTCTGCATATTCATTTTGGCTTTTGTTGCCTCCTTGATTCCCGTCTTTCTGCGAAGTCGTCCACTTTCGATAAGGTAAGATGCATAGTGATGTGTATTTCTAAGAGATCGGTTTAATGAAACTGGGATTTTCTGGCATAGGCAACAGAGGAACTGAAGTAACCTCGGGGAGTGATAATTGCAATTATTTTAAAACTTGTCATATACAAGCTTGCGCACCCATGTTGATATAGGTAGCTTTGACAGCACAACCGACCCAACTACACCGTTCGTTGAAGGCGGAAAGCCGAAATCACCAAATATCTTGAAGGGTGGCACTATCATCATCATAGAAACCGTCGCTCTAAGTTTCATTGGCAGGTTATCCTTTGACCAGGTGTCCTAGACCAAGTTTTTTACAAGATAGATAAAGCGATGGATGGGATGAGTTACCAAAATGCTGTAGACTGGGAACAAATACTGCGCAGATCGTCACCAACATACCGGTCGGCAGTTGGCTGCCCTTAAACATTTACGTCATTCATATGCCTCACTGCTGTGACTATACTTGAAGTCTTTAGTGGGTATGAGTAGGTGTCCTTAGGTCAGGCTCTTTGGGGCCATTTGTGGGTTATGGTTTTGTTTAGTATCTTGCATTCTTCCCTGTACAACCGTGTACTGCCTCTGTAGCCCGCCATCTTGGCGCTCAATGGTAGAAATGACTCGCACAATATGTGCCGGTGTTAGTGTCATTTATTACGGTGTACGATGTAACACTCTAATTGCTTACCTTCCAATTTAACAAGATTACAGGGGAAGGTTGACATGTAAAATTAGAATTTTTTGTTTTGACAAATAAGTAGCTTCATTTTGGTTCCTTTAGGTGATAGCTGTGTAAAGGTTGGAACTACTTCAAATTGTGATACAATCTTTGAAATTATGTATTTGCACACTTTAAAAATATAAAAAAACATGATTTGTGCATTAAAAATACGGCATAACACGTTGACGCGTGATTAGATCGGATAGGTTCAACTTCAAGAATCACGACTTTTCTCGACAAATCCTCAAAAAGATTTCCTCGAGTATGGATTTTGTTAATCATTTCCTTAGTGAGGATATCTGCCTACGAAACAGCACACAATTCCTCATGTGTCCACCCTGCAAGGCAAAGGGTTGTCGGTTTAGAAGACTAAACACATCTTGTGGCGACATCGTTTGGTCCTACTTCTTCGACAATCCAGCCTCGGTTTTCCTCGCATTCATTGCACCCATTTTTGGTTAGTCTCCCAAAATTCCGTTAGATTAGGAAGAAAGTTGGTTTAAATTTCATTTTAGTGGAAATAATATCTTTTTTGACCTACCTATACAAATCTTTAGCCATTCTTTACACACGAAGCGTTAAAATGGGAACCTTGTCCGTTGAATGCTTCCTTTTAAATCACACGTCCAATAATTCCATTATCTTGAAAAAGTTACTTCTGTAGATTATAATGGGTTGCGCGAAAAAGCTCCAGCGTACGTCACTGAAAACCTAAATTTCATCTGGCGTGCTGAACTGAGTCTTCTCTACTTTTTACCATCCTAGGCATGCTGTGCTTGAGACTGTGGATGCGCCAGCAAAGCACGCTGGAGTGTCGTTGGCATATGCAGAATTTCAAGGCAGCCAAGGAGCCTGCTAGACGGCAATTCTTGGAAAGACTCAACCAAGAGGACCACTCACTGTCAAATGTGAGCTCTAGTTGAAAATGCAGGGGCAGGAGTCTCTTTTCAAAATAACCTTTTCCAGGCTCTACTGATAATATTTTGTTGCATGCGTGGATAAAGTGACCCCTTTCAACCAAACTTCTGAAATAGCTGTTGCTGATTTACATTGTAGCCCGATGTTTGAAACTACAATTAATTGCTCTACCAGTACACAAATGACATTCGTTTTAATCATTTCGATTTATTATTTTTTTTTAAATTTTAAATGCATCTTATCCCAGGTACCAATCCTTTACTTTTACCTACAGAATGCTGGTCTTCCTCTCTGGTCGTTTCGAGTGCCAGTCCTTACCTTCACCTGGTTTATTACTGCAGTATTGGTGAGTGATTAATTGAATGATTTGTTCTAATCCCTAGGCTTTTGTAAAACGCCTGCGCTTGTTAATATGCATGTATTACATAACCTGGATACGCCAGTCTATCGGAATGGTGCTCTTCAATGTGCCCTTTAAAATTCACCTCTTTCTGTGGATACAAGTACATTCTACAAAATGTCACCTGAACAAGTTTGACGGAGATGTTTTGAGCTGGTTTGGGCAACAAGCTACACTAGCTACCTGCAAGACTTCTAGACAACATTCGACTCAGGTATGGAGGGGGGTAATAGAGTTTACCACACCAAATCAAATGGTCTTAACAGCAAGCTTCCAGCGCAAAAAGATGAATCACTCAGAGACGAAGACAAAGAACTACTTGTTGTTATTTGTGGAGAAAGTAATCAAAGATGGAAGTGTCAAGCACTGGAAGCATTCAGTATTGTGTGATGCAGCTTGAGTGATGAATTTCATCGTCGACATCTACACCACCTGTGGGAAATTTGTGGTAGACAAGCAGCAAAGTGAACCAGCTTTGCCTACATACACTCAGAGATGACGGTAGATTCCGAAAAATGTCACATTGTCTTTATTTCTCTCGATTTGTAAATGTATATCGTAAACTCGAAATAGCTTGCCATATCGCTGATTGACTAACTTTCATGTCTATGAACTTGGATTGGATTGGATCGTTTGTTACGCAAACAAAAATACCACCAATTATGCCCGAAGGATCCAGTATGTTAGTAGCCAGGTTGCGTATTGAAGTGAAGCGTGTCCCATTCTGTTCCCAGGGGACAGTGAGCTTCGTTGGCGTGTAGCAATGTCGTATCATAATTTTTCACTATCAATTTCTTCCTGGGTTAAACAAGTGCAATAGAATTGCTTCAGAAACAAACGGAATCAATGGATGCTAGTGTCTCTTCTTCTGGATGGCACATGCTATGCTAAATCTCAAATTGCAGCTAAGGATGGGGTGGAATGCGACGGAATGGAGTCGAACTGGTGTGAATAATTAGCTAGCTTTTAGAGAAGAAGCACGATATAAAAAGAAAAGGATTTTAGTAATTACAATAAAGTAGCTTGTAATTATTCGGCCATCCTGTGTTTTACTTGTGCGCATAAAGCTGAGTTGTTTTCACAGCATTAAAAGTCTGTTTTGTAGACTGTATTTAGACTGGCAATCGCAAATAAACTGAATGTTTTTTAGGTGTGTTTACTATCACTCAATGTGCAAAGGGTTCGGCTGGCGAGAATTTACTTCATAAACTTTTGGCTACTATTTTGGTATATGCTTTGGAAAATTTTTTGCTTTTTTATAGCCTCATTTTACCTGGAGACTGGGTCAGTCACGCATGACATTTATTTATAGTGTAAATGGAATGATATACAACTGTTTTATGCACATTCATGTCTTTGGCCTCGCTCACGAATAAAGAAATGCTGTAGAGGCCGTACCGTGGGCAGTCTGAAGTGGCAAGTTTGTCCCATTTAACGCTAACCGTTGCTGCGCTTCTCGTCTATCAAGATAACAATCGCCAGTAGAATGCGGCTAGAGCACAATGAGATGACGCATGAAGACTTTTTGCATTGCAAATGCATAAAACTCGACATCATGGGCATCTAATCGTAGGTGCCCAAGCGTCCGAACAGCGTTTATGTGGCGATGGTACACTTAGTCGCTTAGCAGCAAAACATTTGAATGTTGTGCCTGAAGAAGGCGACGTTTCTGACAATGATGGTTCGTTATCACTCTATTTCTGTGTACAAACATTAGGCACGTGAAATGCCTGATCATAGACGACTGATCGACGTATAACCTGTCACCATGGTCTGGCACAGGATGCGAATGTTCCCATGGGTGAGGTGAGCAAAATACCTTAATCGTAATTTAAAAGCGCTGACCCACAACACATCTTGAGAGGTTTTCCAGCTTTTATGAAGAGGCAAATTAAGCCATCCTTTTTTCCGCTTTAAATCCATTTACCAGTCGTAATTTGAGCTTCAGAAACATTTCATAAATGTAAAAAGCGACTTTGGGGAGGTAAACGGTTTTCAGTTCATGAAAAATACCCCACTGCGTTTTTTTATTGGCTCGTGCATTTTGCTTCAAATTAAATATCCATTGTGGCTACTTACAAGAAATATTAAATTTTCTCTAAAGGAATGCTAATTTTTACCTTCTACTGACAAATATTACATAAAAGGACATATTTCATGAGATGCGACGAAGATTGTTAAAGCATTCTCAAATCATTTGCCAACATATACATATTCCGTTTTTCACCCATGGAAAAAGTACTTTGCCTTTTAGATTTCCCTCTCAATCGGGTTAGAACTCATAACGGACATCATTCCCCCTCGTCTCGAGGTCTACTTCATGCAGTCAGAATCGAAATTTTGCAATGAATTTGCCTTATTCTTAGCATTTGGCGTTAAGACCCTCTTCAATGCTGTCTGTGTTTGCATTTTAAGCACGGTATGTTCAAAATGACCCAAACCAATTCGACAAAATTTCTTGCTCCAAGTTGAATATCGTGATTAAGTACATCAAACTACACGGTTTTATGCAGCGATTGTCAAAACGGCTCTTGTTTGAAACAGCAGAGATAGGAGGAAGAAAGATAGCAAACAATTAGGTCTAAAGTTGCCATGGAACTTCTTCTCTCTGTCAAATTAACCGTTTCTACGATTTGGTACAAAAATGTCTTTATCCGTTCGTAACCTCGTGGTGCTACGGCATCTGTTCCCATTCGATGTCTCATTTTTCTGTTAGAAATTACTCATACCCGTGAGTGGTAGTATATCTCAGAACAATGGGACCAGGAAATTTGCGTCTACGTGTAATATGTTTGGCAATTCCTTCATGAATAACTCAAGTTTGGGTGGTACTTTATCATAGCAATAGGGAAGGGCTGATTGAGAGTTAGTGAAAACGACGTGGACGGAACCTCACTGTCATGTAGCATTGTCTCTCTCAACTTTTGTGTAGTGTCATTGCCTCTTCTCGTAAGCACTAGTCTGAGTCCGTCATTGCGGCACAGTCGATACTGTAAAAATCGCTCTCAAGTAAGGGGCGGTAATGCCATGTTTCCAAGTCGGAATGAGAAGAGATTTGCTCTCATTTTCATTAATGCATCGTGCAGCTTTAAATGAATACTAGAGTTATTTAATCCTTGCAAATCACCTTGTGAAAATTTTACTGGCTTTGTACCTGTCGCAGATAGTTACTCTCCTACAGTGAATTTACACGAGGGCTTATGAGCCATTGGGATTGATGACATGAGTGAAGCGTCGTGGCACCTCTATGGTGACCGAAAGCACGGAGACGGGAAAGTTTGAGTAGACAAGCACACACCCTAGGCAAATATTATCCGCTTAAGTTAATACAAGTGGATAATGTGGGTCCTTGCAATTAAAGTTATCTTAGACATAAAATGTTCTTTTTTTAGATTTACCGAGCATGGATTCGATGGTCAACGAAACTTGAGTATCATCCAACTCAGGATCAACAGGAGCAAACTATTCTGATGAAAAGTTGCCTAATGGAGTTCATCAATGTCTTTTTATCCCTTTTTACTGCTATCCTCTTCAGAGCACTCAATTATGGCTATCCTGGTCAAAACTCAACGATATTTGAACCGCTTGAAGTGGGTCTTAGTCATTATCTCGTGCATTTAAGTGAACGCGAAAGTGTGAAACCTGGGCTTAAAGTTGAGCGCACTATAATGCATTCCGTCAATCCCATCATTAATTTTATACGCAAGCTAGACAAAAGAAATTGATTCTTTATTTTCTCTGTACCATTTCCATAAATTGGAACCCAAAATATATTAAGCACCTAGCTGTCAAGATTTCTTTAAGATAGATTTGTTGATAGTGTTTTCAAGGGTTTAAAATTTTGCGCGAATCTAAGTAATACAATCGATGGACCTTATGTCATTCTATTTAGCATATGAGTGTTCTGAATAATGCTTTAAACAACTTTGGAAGTGTTACAAAAGCATGCAAATCTACAGAAGCTTGGCATCACTCCCTCCAGAGCTTCAGAGGTTTTGGAAATTGTAGAGTTTACTTTGCATATCTATAGTAACGTTATAGTTTTGTTCACAATTCTAGTGGCCGGTATGGACTGGTCTGTTTGGAATTTTCTACGAAATCTACATTAAATGCACAGTCATTGTCTTCGTGAAGACTGCTACTGATTGGCTTCCGTGAGTTTCCCACAATTTCTCTTATCACCGCATCTTCAATGATCACAGCAGTTTTACCTTAATGGTTTTAAAAAAATTAGAGCTGCCAAATTCCTTCCTGAAGGTACGGTAAACCATATCCGTATAACAAATGATGTGCCACAAGCCGTGAGGCCAGAAGTTTTGTGCAATTTATTTCCATTCTTTGATTATCAAGGATGACACAGTCAACGAGGCCCACAAGATAAATGCTGTTCTTTCGCGTATGACTTTAAATATCTCGAATATCGAGTCTTCTTGGAGCTGATCACACACAACAGGTCCATCTGGGAACAAACATGCTTTTGATTTCTTCGATCGGGTATTCATGCCATTGTCGTCAAACAGTGTCCTGGAGCAATCTGAAGGTCATTATTTGGCATGCTGATCCGCCAAAGAATCAAAAGAAGCCAAATGATCGACGCATTTCAATATCCAATCTCACAAACATTGGTTTGAGGGAAAATTTGAATAGACAACAAAAATGTTACCAACCATACGTGGGTCATTCATATAAAACCGCTGCTTTTTGCAAATAATGAGGGGGAAAAGAACAAAGCTTGAAAGTGAAAGCCTAGTATATTTACTTATCTTATTTAGTAAATTCAAGTATTATGTCTGCCTCTGAAATATCGGTTAAACCATCGCATGACAGTCAGCCTAACTTGCCGAAATCGGACATTTTCCGGTCGTGGTTGACCACAGTAACCCTCTATTGAGCAACTGCAAGATACAAAGTTGTCTAGGATCAGGCATTCCACGCTAGAAATATTTGTCGAAGGGACAAATTGCTATTGCGTCTTGGAATAAAAACCTTCGCAGTCGGGATCTTCGTCCCCAAGGCGAACAACCTACCACCTTTGAAATGCTTACATCAATTAGACTGTTACTGAGTGGCTAAAAGTTCGAGCACGATACTTTCTTTTGCCAAAAGTTTTTTGTGCATTTGGATGTTTGTGGACTCTCTACATCCTGTTAAATGCATATGTCCGTTTACCACTATTGCCTCCATTCTCGATTAACGGTGTGGAAACTGTCCCAGACGATGCCACTTGCGCTGATTGTTTTAATGCTAATGGAGCATACTGAACTCTTGTCACTGTGCAAGAGTTCCTTCGTAGCATCCTCTTTTTTACATGTTTTCTCAGGGGTCCCGGTTTTGTTTGAACGACACTTGCCCATTGCTCCCAATGATCTCATCTTCTCCTGTAGTATTTTCAGTAAACCATTGCTTTCCAAGTCCTTTATTTTAACGTTAGTACAGAGAAGGCTTGTAAGAAATTTACCTAACAAGTTATGGAATTTTTAAATGCTATTTTTAGTTAAAATTTATTACTATTGAAGAAGCATAATCGTCCTAGAAGGAAAGGATAAACGGTGGATCTGTAAAAATATCACCTAGGAAGCAAAAATTCAATTCTATTCAAGTCCTTTGATATAAGCAAAAATGGCAGGAAAAAATGAGAATCTTCTTTTTACGCAAAATTTAATTCAGCATCTTTCCCTTTATTTTTACCAGTTTGGGTCAAGTAAAGGAGATTTTAAAAAATAATGTGCGTTCACTAGTCCTCGGCCGCCAAGCTTCAACACAGAGGGTAGAACTGAGCTTGAGTCCAACCTACAATCACTGTCTCAACAATTTCAACCTGGATCCATCTGGGGGACATTTCCTCTTTCAACGCCAGTTTGACATGTGTAAGTGGTATCCCTTAACAGATATTGGTACCGATTCCAAGTTGATTTTGATGTGACCTTCTGTCCTTTTTTCCAACGGAAACACCCCTGCAGGTATTTTTATCGGATTCGCAGTGATGTTTCTACCTGCATCGTTTACTTGGATACTTACACTACTGCTTCTGAGCATAGTGACAATTCGTGGATTCGCTATCAAAATTACACGTCACATGCAAAGATTATCACCTAAACCGGCTCGATCTATCGGTACGTTTCTTCCCCTCTGTCGGTTTCTCCTCCAAATGTGAAGGTATACAGATCAATCAGGGCGAAGCATCTAGTCAAACTTTGAGTTGTTTGTGCATGAAAATAGATTGTCATTAGGTACTGATACTTTCATCGTTCTTTTGTTTGGCTTGAGTATTAATTAATGTCTCTATCCACGACTTTCGCTGATCGTCTGTTCTGCATACCTATTCACTCCTCCAGCCATTCAAACATCCGCTTGTCAACTCAACTACTTCTTCATTCACTCATTAAAACACATCAAAGAGAAGCAATAAGTGCCTATTAATTAGCTGGTAGGCATTCAACTTTTCATAAATTTGCCTTTTTAATAATATGGATGATCATAGTTCTTAATAAACGTTAAAGTACAAGAATTCAAACTTATTCACCATCCCAAAGTTTTTTAAGTATTTTTTTCCAGATTTTATTGCTGATCCATATTACAAAATTTTCGTAGTTTATCAATACTTTTAAAACCAATATCTATCTAGCCGAGCCCAATTTTTTTCTGTTGTTGTAGTAAGGCGAAATCAGTTTTGGCATTTTTTTCTTTTTTTCATAATATTAGGAATGTGGATGTGGCTTCTTCTCGGTATCAATTCATTCGCCATCTTGACCAATGTGAGTTACAGATGTGACACATGCTACCCTCAAAAATGTTTCGATTAAAGGCACGTCCGATCCTTTAAAAGCTCACATGAAAAAAAAACATAAGTGTGTAGAAACTCCCTCCCCACTTGGCCTTCGCTTACACTTATAAGCTTACTCCTCAGCGTTTTACTGCTACCTGTGAAGCATTGTTGCTGACATGCCATTACGTACGTTTTGGTTTCACCGTATGGCCAGGTTTCCCTACAAGCAATGGTTGAGTCTAGAGAATCCCGGCAATCCCTCTCGGTGTATTTCTTTACTTCAATGCAGCATTCAACTCAACTGCCCCGATCGAAGGCAGAATGCAGTGCGCCAAATTCTCAAAATTCGTGGACACTGTTTAGTGTACACAGTATCCACATAAACATTTGCATCATGTACAAGTTTGCACCGCCAAGTTATGCAAAAATCAGGTGCTTTACGAATTTGTTATTCTGATCTTAGTGGTGACGGCTGAGGCTGTAGACCCAAATCAAAATTTTAAAAGAGAAAGGGTAAAAAAGGTATCCTCAAAGTATGGCAGTTTTCTTCGGGAAATAGCCACTCCACCCAATATGTTTGGACGGAAAGGAGACCGATCTATGCACCGAAATAGCAACGTCAAACCCTTTTCTTCCCATTAAAGTCTTACAAGATTTTTTAATTCTCTCTTCAAACAGGCCTGTCTCATCGCATTCGCTAGTGAATTTGTCAACAAGCTTGTGTACCAGTTCTATTATTCACCTAATGGGAGCATGATGGGATACACCAATTTCTCCCTCTCCTACATGGACGTCAATCAGTTCGAAATCTCGGAGGAGGACAAAGGGCTGCTGAATGGATTAAAATATTGCAGGTCAGCCGAAAACATTTTGTAGTTTTAAATCAGAAACATAAACAGTGGAGTGATAAGAGAACTTTTATAACAATAATTGCGTCCTGCTTGCTGAAAATTCCCTTTTTATATTACGATTTGTACAAAATGAAGATACTTTGGTTACCGGGAACCACCAGATAGCACAAATCCCTACAGCCTAACTTCAGTGTTCTGGCACATACTTGCGGCCAAGTTCATCTTCGTTTTTATTTTTATGGTGAGTTTTCCGAATTTTACTCAAAAAATTGTGGTATTTTACATTACACCACAATCCACGCCTAAAGTCAAATAGTAGCGCTCAAAGTAGGTTAGAAAAACAAGCAATTACAAACACTTTTTCGGTGATTTTATAACAAACTGGCAATTGATCACTCTTAATGAACCAACTTTTAATCGTTTTTTTTATTTCTTCCCTCAATATTTCAAGCTTTCCGTTACGCTAATCAACTGGCTACTGAGTTGGCTCATTCCCTGTGCACCTCGTCGGTTAGGAAACACCAATTCGATTTGTCGAAAAAATATTTAAAACCAGGTTGGTTCTTAAACGCGTTTGACTATGTGGAAATAGCAAATAATTTTCTTAAAGATATTTTGACTAAAGTGCTTCCAAGAGTATAGTTAAGTCATTTGTTGAGATGATAAATGACTGTTGCATTTTTGGTCTCCTTCTATCCCCTACCTCCATAACGCAGCTACATCTAGGCCGACTAAATTTGCAAATAGCTTTGGAGCAACACTAGGTTTTGATGGGTTTTCGTTGATACTTTGGAAACGACAGGCACTGGGCAACAGGTCCATTTAGAGATCGTTGAATGAGCCTACTGACAACAATGCTAACTAACGTTGCAAAAGCACTCAGGTTCCGGTGACTGAGTCGGCGGAAGCTCAAAATGAAGAAGTACTGGGAGTGTTTTCACATTCCCGTTTTGCATTGTGTTTGAGTGATTAGAGGAACGACTTAAAAGATCTGTGGAAGATAGCTGAACAGAAACTGTGGTTAATGAGCCGAATGCAAAGATTAGATACCTTCAAGTGCTGAAAGAAGTGGAGGATGTCTTTATCCTTTGACATCTGGTTAAATAAATGTGTGTGGAAAATTCTGCGCAATGTTTTGGCAGACCAAAACAATATTATACCACTGTAAAATTGCCAGATTCTCTAAATGAGGGGGATTAGGGAAAAATCCAAGGAAGAAATTCTGGTGATTTAGTCCCGGTCTCTTCTTTAATGACTACTACAAGTTATTAACATTCCACACTTTAAGTAATGCTATAATATATTCTGCTTTTTCTGTAGAATTAGCAAATGGATTCTTTTCCAAAACTTAATCACTGACCGAATCCGATGGTTCGCGTGGAAGCGCTATGAATTGATTTAAACCCCTTTGGAATCAGGCCTTGCATTCGCTAATTAAACCCTTTGATGTATTTTGTACATAGCGTTGACATACAAAACAATTTCATCCTTTCTTCCATTAAAATAATAACACGGTGGTTTGATATTTGTTTTATTGCATGGTTAACCTCGCCCAAGTCCTTCCTGAAGGAGTGTCAAATAGTGTATATTTGGATAGAATATTATCGTAAGTTGAAAAAGTGAACTTATGAATCAGAACGCCACGAAGGCTGAGGGGTATGTACAAACAGCAGATGTCCTGAGTAACACGGCTTTCCTACACAGTATTGTTAGGGATTGGAAAGCGCACTAAATTCCTTATTTTAGATACCTATCAAAAAATATGTCAAAATATACACTATTTTGTGAAAATTGTAATTAGGATTGCCCAATTTTCAAACAAATTGGTCCTAGAATGAATTTTAAGACAACCATTTTTAAGGCATAGGGACGAGATGAGGTAAAATACAAAAGGCACGAGTGCAGTCCACCAGGGATAAACAGTAGGAATAACCTTAAAATGAAGCTCACATGAGAGATAGATACTGTGCATATCTATTTTTTTCATAAGATTCTTGCATTTGAAACAAATGAATAAGTAACTGAGCAAGTAAATGACAAAAGCTAAAAGATTTAGCTATTTTTATTACGATTCGACTTAATTTAGCTTCTAAATGGCAAAGATGAACTAGAATTTAGTAGAACTCTTTGATGACTTTCTTATTTAACTGAATCGCTTTTCTAGGTCAATAAAGCAAAATGTGGGACAGATGAACCAGTTTTATTAAAAGCTCCAAAGGTAGTAAGCACATAGGATTCGTAATTCTTCCAGAGTCCGCAAGCCTTATTTTGGCAGGATATTTTAACATCAGAAATGTGGCACTAAAAATGCAAAGACAATCTGTTCGGGGACAGTCGATGATGAGGTGAAATAAAAAGGACATTTCTTATCACAATTTGTTTGCCGCCGAATAAGTTAGGATGCTCACGAGTACTTTTTACAGATTGATAGCCTCCCAAGCTTATGTTATTAGTCAATACGCAGCATTTGAGCGAGACGCATCGTCTTCACTTCTGTCACGACTTTTGCCCTCCAAATGATGTGAGGGTCAAGCATTAACTTACTTATCCGCATTACGTCAAACACTACCGAAGGTTCCGAATCGTCTAGTTCCGTCACTGATTATGGCACGCAATTCGCTGTTAGAGGGTCTCCTCTGTCATTGTCCGAATCAAAGTACCTTTCCTTTATCCAAGCTCCTTTCTCAATTCGGAAGCCGAGACAAAATGAATATGTAGAGGCAAGTCCCAAATCACACCTATCACGTTCGTCAAACCGACATTTCGAGATACTGAATTGCGTTAAAAATAAAAAATACAGTAAAGAATGGAATAAGAGTTTATGTATCAGTGGGTCTACACAAGTGCAGATTTCATAATTTATCGAAAAAAAGTTGTGTACTTTCAAAAGTCCTTGCAAATTATAGGGTGATGGAAGCGAGCTGTGCCAAAAACAAAGGAGATTGTTTTAAAAAAAACTATAAAAACTATAAATTTGATGGGGTTTTAAAAAAAAGTTGCATCTGCACCCACTTCCTTCAGAGTTGAAATTGCTTTTCACTTTACTATGACAAACAAAATCCTTTTATACATTTGAATGTGGCACTGGAACTTTGCAAATCTCGAGTAAATTGTGACTGCCTAGTTGGATTGTAGCCCTGACACGGAGATGCACAGAACCAGGGTTCCGATGGCCCCAGATCGTGACAAATAGGCAGTCGATTAGCAACCCCTTGACAGACTATGAAAATGTCAGCTATAGATGCTGAACGGACAATATTTGTTCAGGGGCTGGCCAAGTTTACCCCAAACTATCGATAACGCGTGTGACTAACTCCGATCTCATTTTGATCGTTCTAATCTCTCGTTACGAATTGGATCGGATCGATGGGAGGTAAATAAGACTAGAATGTTGGCACTGATGCGCCTAGCGCAAACAATTTGTGTCAAGATTCGATCACGCCTAAGGGTGTCAATTATTGTAAGATTTTCATATCATTATGATCCTATCTTCCCAAGAAATTAAGCATAAAAAGCCAAAAGTAGTCAACACCTCTGATTCTGTGTATTTTTGGTCCACTGAAAAGGGCGCAGGGCAAAAACTCATTGTTATCAATAGATCACACACACACGTTTACGTAGTGGAGCGAGTGAGTTTAAAAAAGATTGAGAGGGGATGAGAAAATGAAATTGAAAGGTGGGGATAGTTGTGATCTACCCCTTTCATTCGTAACCGGGTTCAGGAACGAGCGAGCAATCAGGTCGGTTTCGATTGTGAGTAGACTCTTGATGAAGGAAGAAAAAGGGGAGTGGGGAGGATTAGAGGTGAAAATTCAACAGGTCCTAGTCTCAATTCTCGTCGATTACACGTGTTAGAAAAATAGAAGCGGAAATAATGGATTTTCCTAGATTATCACTGCCGTCGCAAGCGCCAACGACGATGCCGATCAACAATCGCCCCTGTCGTCGGACGATAGGAGACCTCAGCGGCTGTGACGGAGAAATTAAAGGTGGTAACTTTTCGACGCAACGCTCCGAGACAACGCCGGTGGGTGCTTCGCAAGCGTCGGTTGCTATTACTGACACGGAGCGCGCACCAGTGAAGGCAACTAGCCAGTCTCGGCCACCGAGTCTGTCCGAGACGTGCCAATTCATGGAGGAACTCATCCACCAGCAGAGCAACAGCGGCGGCTATGAACAGCACTCCTCCGCTCCATCCGACGGTGTCCGCGGAACCGTAGTAAACGTCCCACCGAAGTTGAGGAGATTGGAGGGGACTAACAGTGGTAGCAGGGGCGGCAGCCGTGTGAGACTGATGGGATTCCTGGGTGGGATTTGGGGACGTCTGGCGTGGATTAAGGAGGTAAAGGTTCGCGTAGCTTCGGTAGATGCCGAATGTGAGGAACGTAGTAAAACCTGCAGCACAGCGGATCCAAGAATCGTCGTTACTTAACTTTCAATTAGTAGAAAGCTGATTTAATCTTGGCAGTGCATACAAGTAACTGGAATAAAGCTATTTCCCTGGTAAAAGTAGTACATTATTTCGAAACGTCTCAGTAGAGCTGGTCTCCATCTTAGTAATATGGCGTTTCGCCCACTTTCATAGCAACCTGCCCTTCTAAACACTAACAATGAACCTCCTTTCAACTTTTTATGCTTCATTAAATCTTCAGGTATAACGAAGGGCGTTGTGTTGATGGTATTGGTAGGCAAAACCGTTTCAAATGAATAAAAATCCCGATTCCTATGACCGGGAAGACTACTGTTTTTGATAGCTGGATTTGCAGATGGTTGCCACAGAAGAGGTGGAATGACGTCGGTTTTTGGCAGACCTCAAATTTTAAGTTATACATAATGGTCATATGTGGACAGGGGATGGGCTTTAGCATGCTTCTGGAAGCAGTTATTCATACCATAATGCTATGACCCCATACTTTAAGTCCAATTTTACTAAGAAAGGCTACTAGTATACAAGAAATGCACACTCTGGCAATCGACTAGTCCACAAAACTTTATGCAAGTGAACTCAAACCCCGTTTCCCCTCCCACTAAATAGAAATTAATCGTATCACCTTTGTTTCTGTCTAGCAGTATATAATTCAATGAAAGATACGTCATGCTAGAATCAAAAAGAGTGGGGAGCACCTCGAAGAACGCTTAAAAATAGGGGGTATGGAGTAAAATGGAAGTAATTAATATTTCTAATTAATAGAGCTCATCCTCCTTCGTTCCGTTCCTCTTTATGTCCTGCTAACCCTTGTGCATGCTAAATAATCTTTATCTATCTAACAACCGAAATGATAAGATGGAAAGATATTGGGAAGCATAGGCCAAATTTTTTTAAGAGGAAGTACCTTCAGATAACATAATTCGTGGAAATAAAGCATGCATTTTCCTGATACGCACAAACTATTAAATTAAGCTTACTTAGAATCGGAAAATAACGCAACGTTTCTGGGAATACCTGCTAGAAAAAATATTTCGCCACTAGAATGAAAGTAGTAGAGGCGTTTGACGAGATTTGATCCAGAGTGTCCGAGAATTGCCAATCCAGCGCCTAGTAAACCAACGAGGATTGCGACCAAGAGGATACACGTTGCACCACCCTGCCAACCTACAGAATGAGTGAAAGTGCGTCACCCATTTCCTACTGATAGCAAAAATATTCCATATTAAAATTCAACGTAAATCATACCATCCGTTTCTGAAATAAAGGGTAGAGTAAGTTCACAGCTCCCGTTCCCGGTGCTGCACTTTTGCCATAGTCCACGACGTGTTATATTTCCGGCTAAAATAAGCATTCATTGTTAAGTTTACATGCCACTTTAGTTCGAATGTTAACTTTTTGCAAACCATTACTTATTTCAGCACTGGTACTAATTACTCGTTAATATTCAAAAAAATAACATTTAAACATAAAAAGAATGAGACGTCCAAGTAAAACCGACACTTGCGCAGATTCCGAAAGCGATACTACCGTGCCGATAGGGACAAATGCTAAAAATAGCTGACGTTCAGGTCGTATCTCAGTCTGGGAAACAAGGTTCGTGCATGCATGTGTGTAGAACAGGGTGTGCTAGCACAAGATTTGAAATCCTAACTGTCGGATTGGGGAAAATACTTCAAGTAATAGCAACACGGTGAGGTGATCTAGACGTTTCATTGGTAGCTGGTCGTGCATCCCTCGGACACGATACCAATCCTGGTGGTTCCCCTTCTAAATCAGAGTATGTGTTCCTGAAACGTCTGATTTTACCTGATTGACACAAGATCATCAATTGCAGTGAAGTTACACCGGAGAGAGATTAGCTTCAAAACAGCATTCCACCTTTACAATCCCTGAAGAGCAAGGTTTTTCACCGGGTTAAAGAGGAGTTTTGGCAAGAAAAACCGAGACAATCTAGATCACGCTATTGTGCTTTGACGAATTCCCAATTCAACAACTCACTCTGGAATCAAAACACAAATCACGGTAGTGAAGGTCTGGAAATTTTCGACCAGTATTTCAACGTCGATGATGAAGTGAGACTGTTCTGGAATGTTTCAGCCTTGCTGCCAGAGAAGATATCTGTTTGTAAGCTTAACAGCCGTGATAGGACCTGAATTTTTTTCACGAAGTGACATTGGCTCGAATTACGTGAAAGTCCGATCTTCCTCAACTTGACCTTCATTGCAGCTCATGCTACCTATTCTACTGGTCCTCTATTCTGTGTCGAAGTTGATAATAACACTACTTCTAATCAAAAGTCTTTTAACTTCTTCGGGGATTGAATGTAATAACAAAACTCCCCCACTTGGTCACTAGAATTATTCTAAAGGCTACAGGTAGGAGATGGATAAAAGAAGGAACCAAAAAATATAAAAGATGATTTGTCCCCTATTTTTGGCAAAAAAATTTGTTTTACAATTACTTTGATGATTTCACACAGAAAAACCAGTTTGAAAGTCTCCACAATGTGGAATAATGTCATCTAAGCCTCTTAACTTCAAAAAATAAATCATAGGATAAAACAAAAGCAATATTATTTTGGGAGCAATTCTAATACAGTTCAAAGGAACATGTGGCTGTGGTATTTTAGGTAGATTAAACGCACGAACTCAAAGATTTGCTGTAAATTCCTTTGTAGAACACTGAATCCAGAATTTTTGAGTGATATTAAATTACGGAACCGATTTCCCCTTCCTGCCTTCGTTTTTATCACACCATAATGTTAAAGTATTCAATCTTGCTCCTTTTAAAGTGAAATTTATGAATGCAAAACTATCTTTAAAGAGGTTTGTTCAAACAATTCCATAAAGTTTATCAGATTCCACTTACAATGCAATGACGGCTAGGATATTGGGAATTCATTCATTATATTAAGCCGTGCAATGTCTGTGTCTATCAAATATTTGCAACAACTCTGCTCTTTTACTATTTAACAGTAGAGTCAAGTGCCGTTAACTTTTTTTCTTATGAAAAAGCTGCTCAAATGTAGCTATCCGCAGTTAAAGAACATCTGCGTGCGCCTGTTAGGTGCTAACAATTCAAACACTCAGCATGAGCCTCACTAATGCAACGCAGCTAACTATAAGAAATTGGTGGAAAACAATGCATGTTATGCATCTGAAAATCGGGATGTCACAAAAGTGTGACGCTGATTGCAAACGGCCTAGAAAGCATCGCATCAATCAGTGGGTATGAATGTTATTCTTGGCACCGGTGCTTTAGCGAGCTCGTACATCTAATAACTTTCTTAATTGCAGTCAAATTATGCTCGTGAAAATCACGTTTCCCTACTTCAGTAAGTCACATATGGCCTCAAGTCGCTGTAAGAACAAACCGCCTGTCTCGCTCCTTCCCTTCCTTACTTCCGTTCCAAAAATGTTAAACGAGGAGGCAAAAAAGGGCAGGAGAAGAGAACACAAGTTTGATTTTGGCTGAATCTTCTACTTCTCTCCCAACCAATTAGAGCACTTCGCCGCCAAGGTCACCACGGATTGCTTGCGTCAGCAGTCAATGCTCAAACAACAGACGCAAGCCCTCATTGGCTGGGCTGCTGGTTAGTGCTGGCGTTCGATTGGCCAGGCTTGTGCTGCCATAATCCACGACCTCTTTTACAACCCTCAGTACGAGGAAGTGGGAGGAGGAGGAGGAGGAGACGGAGAGCTATTTTAGGTTGCAGCTAAATTTAGCTCTTCTTGCATTTACATTGGTAAAATAATAACAATTATAGGGTTGCCAGTAGTCCTAAATGCCTCCATTAATGCGAGCGTTGGTGGAGCCATGAATACGAGTTCTCGGTGGCTATTTAAGCACTGCGGAGTAGGATGAAGAAGTGTCAGCATTTGTTCACGAATTTCAGATGAGTAGATAAAATAGATAAAATAATTTGTTGATAAAATTGCATAGTATATTTTGAATGAAACAAATTCTTCTGTGCAATAAAAATGCCTCAATTCTAATATGATCAAAGCATGAAAAAGCGATTTGTTTCATTTATTTCATTACCTACAACGCCTTCGCCTTCCATTCATATCACGCCTGTTAACAGCAGTCAGTAGTTATATAAGGTTGTAATAAATCTCCATCCATGCTCACAGATTTCGTAACATCGCCATGAAAACCTAATTTGCAACAACAGTGATAGTAAACAGGGAGATGCTTACACCCAAGCCTCCGAGATGGAAGGACTGCAATGTGGATGGGCTATCAAACCCCGGAGGGCCTTTGACAATCACCCTTGTCTCGTGATCGTGAAAAATATCCCCGCGTAACTAAGGCAACTTTATGCTGGGTTGATTTAAAAGTGCTCGTTAAATTATGGCCTAAGTTAGACTAACTACATGAATAACTGGACCTTCTAGCGTTAAAATTGTTCAACTCTCGGCTTTAAGAGTAAACAAACGAGAAAAAGGCAGTAAGGAAAGATGAGTGTTTCCTACTAATTTTACGAAATTACACTATACGTATTATCAAATGGTTTTGTTTCCATGCTAATGGTCTGTAAGTGGAAAATGCCACTTGGTTTCAGCTCGTTGTGGAGTGTTGATCCATCGGGAGTAGCCAAAAGTCAGTAAATCATCACACCACAATTTACAGAGAAGACATAACTGTGAGTTCATCCGAATCTACGAAGGGTGGCACTGACCATGCAATCAACTGCCACTTTGAGCTGATAAAAAGTGCTCTTTTGAACTTCGTCCCTGATTGGCTAATCTTATGTCATTAAAATACTATTATAAAAATGGCACAAATTTTTCCCTCTTTAATCCAACAACTTTTCCTACATCTCTGATGTGATATTTTACAAGGCAAAATTCTTTTAAAACATTTACTAGTTTTTACTAACTTCTTGTCTTGCGGTCTGATTTACCTTTTTGTATCCTTGAGCATTTAACAACTTTGTGCCTTAATAAATTTTGAGAGAAAAGTTTAAGGCGTTTGCCAAATTAGTTGCGTTTTTATAAACCAGAAAACTTTTCTTTATGATAAGTACAGAAGGTAAAAAGGAAGAGTAAAAGTGGAATGTCGAGCAAATATGCTACTAAATTGTGTTACTTTGAGGTATTAAACATGAGATATTCACTCAATACGAAGTGAAATTTACAAAGTACCAAATATGTTTCCAGTTTTTTTGTACTTTATCTTTATAAATAAAATGCATTCCGACATTTCTTCTGTAACCAACCTTTTTGGCTGTGTAATGAGGTACTTTCACCCACCACGAAGCCGATGGGATTTTCGCTAGGTGGTTTTGAAGCCCTCACTAAATCACTTAAATTCCTTAGGTACACCGAGTGCTATAAGTAGTGGTCAGTATTCTAAGAGCTTTCCCTAAAAGCATGTCATAATGAAGAAAAAAGGGTACAATAACAATAGGCGGGACATCACTTAACCGGATTTTTTTAGTAATTTCTGTCAAAGAATCGTAAGTTGCGAGCAGATATTTTTGGGCTGGGAACAGCTAAGTAGATGTGAGATATTTTTGGCCGGTGGGTGACTCTATTTTCAATTTTTCAAGAAGCATTGCCTTATTAAAGGTAAAAACCTCTTTTGGACTGGGGTAGTAGATTTCCCGATTGGCCGGCTCCTGATAGTAAACTTAAATATTAATATATAGCTAAAATATCCCCATTAAGGAGCTTTAAAGTGAGCTCACAATGTCATAAGATAGTGTTTTTGACCGTTTGCCACCAAATGCAAAGTTAAATTTTGCAATTTCTGTCAAAATACTCCTTTAAGGTAATGCGTGAGAGTCAACCGCCAATTGTGCAATTTACAGTGAACACACAAGCTTTTTGAACGAGATTTTTGCTATTCTTACTCATTAAAATCTTTTTTTTGTCTGATTCTATTTGGAAAATCATTGTGATAAAAACAGTGCTGGATAGTGCTACTTATTGTTCTTAGATAACCGATTTAAGTAGTGCGTAAAGATTGCAGAGCTTCAACCTTAGCAAAATGACAACCAACAATAATGACATTGCAAACTATTCAACAAGTTATTTAAAAGCAGGTACAGTCACATTTTGTCCTCAATTTTATCTCATTTTTGTGACCTACTTATAATCTACGAATCCATGGGATTGAACGAAAACTTCAATTGGTACATAATATCAAACAATTGTTTGGTAATCCCCAAAACAATCCCACGGGAATATGGGTTACTTGTCTCTGAAATCGTCAAAAACAAGTTTTCTTTGACTAACATTTGTGGTTTTTTCTTTGCTGCTCAGCAGATACCAAACATTTCTGAATTTTTGTTCTACCTTTCAAGCAATCAGATCAAATGGGTGGTAATTGGCAAATCATACAAGGCTTTTTAACTTACGAGGTCCACTGTATGCCCAAGTGGTAGCCACCAGACAATAGAGCAGACAACAAATTGCCATAGATGCAAGCACAATCGCCGTTATCCTAGATCGTCCAAAAGCCGAATGCTCCCAGTAGTCATGGCGATTTATGAATCCAAGAGTGGACAGCTCTCCACCATTGCCTCCTATTTCTCCTACCACTGATTTTTGAGCTCGGAGAAGACTCCCACCTCTGGGACCGCTTCGTGGACGCGTAACTAAGGTAATGATTTTGTCGATATCTTCCACCTCCTCCGCTTCCTCCACCACTACTTCCACATTTCCATCGACACGGTCGAGGGGTGTAGTGGACTTTCGAATACCAGCTTCCAAGTCCCTTGGTTCCAAGGCAGTAGTGGTGGTGGCGATAGAGGGAGAAGCGATGGGGCGTGTTGGTGTGGCAACTGATTTCCCTTCTACATATTCGTCATCCTTGTCACGAGATTCGTGTACGGTGGTGGTGGTGGTTGTAGTGTTATGAGGGAGGGGATGTGCTTCCTGGCTCAAAGGGAGGAGTTCAATTTGTTCGAGACTGGTGGAAGTTGTATGATCCATCACGTCGGCAGCATCATATCCATTCGAACGCTTAAAGCTTTTGCGTTTCCACTAAAATGAAAAAGAAACATTTTGTCTGTTTTTGAATTCGAGTAAATTAGACCAAGTAAGTTTGAATGCTCCATATTAATCAAATTATCTCGGACGGAAGACCTTATGGAAGAACCAGTCACCATGGAAGTCGGTCGGATTGAAACGTGACCTTTAAATTTACCGTCATGAAAGGGATTCTACCCCGAAACCGACAGGCACAGTGGTAATAACCAAATGTAGACTGTCAGGTGAACAGTAGGCGCGCATGCCGTGGGTCACTTTAAATACCATCAGTCAAGATACCAGCAATGGTGGTAGTGAAATAATCTGTAATGCCGAACAAATTTAATCATGAGTAGGGTTGCCGTTCTGTTGTTATCTGCTCAGCCGCTTAGTAGAAAGACCTATGAATAGACTAAATGCTTCAAAGACTATCGGCCATCCATTTGTCAGTGAAGATCCTACCGTCAGCTTAGAGTTCAAAGTCTCTCTCTTGGAGTAAACATTTAGTAGGCATAGCATCTGACCCTAGGCAAGTGTTAGAGGTGGGTTCTTGTTATCGTGAAATTGCACAGGAGACGAATCTTTCTGATTGGCATTACAGTGCCTGCTTTTGACCACAGCAAAAGAGCTAAATATTTCACTCGGCTAAAGGTAATTTTTTTTAAAAAAGCCCAGATGCGTAAAGTCTTATTATTGCGTATGAGCATATAATTTTACTTTGAAGGTAACTATTTCATTACTAATGGAAAAGCAAAACAGGTCGCCCTTAACTCCTTCTCTGGAAAAGCCTTCCTGGGATAACTATGCAAACGGATCGAAAGATAATGTGGAGAAGTGAGCACATTTCCCATTCCTTACAATTTACTCGCTTCCTTTACAAGCCTAAAGAATTGCGGGTCTATCTTATTATCGTATTTACAGCTCAAAATTTATTTTTGTCAGCTTACGACTCTTAGTTGGATGTTTTTACCAAGATCTCAACATAGAGAAGGCTCTCCGAAATTAGCCAAGACATCTCTCATACACATGCGTCCAGTGCGTTTCAATTTTGAACGTTTAAAATAAACATAAAATGCCTGATCTTAACACATCATATCGCAATTTTTGAAGCACCCGACCTCTTCTAGATCATTTTTAAGTACCGTCCTTTGTACCCTCTGTTAAAGGGTAAGAAATCATTCAGGGAATGCACTTCCGGGATTATAAGTTTACCGCGTATAGTCTATCAATTCTAAAATTGCCAAAATTAGGGCGACCGTATTAGAATGGCTTCTTACGTTCCCACTTCTTTTCTTTACATATCATAGAAGTAATGTGCTGGTCTAAAATGCCAATAGAGGCCACTGCCTATCCCTCGGCTAAAAGAGAAAATGAGACGAGACTTCAAGCGCCTCACCCGCTCTTTGCCCCTTTATATTACCACCAGCGCGATTCAAGGGTAGGCTATTCATTTTAATTCTTAAACATATAACTACTACTATATCTTACTTCTCTAGCCTTTTGGGTTAAATTTTCTAAAATATTGCGATTAGAGCGCTACTGAGAGGATGGTTAACACATATGCTCAAAGGTTGAAACCAACGGTGCGTTTTGATCACATGAGTGGAGGCGGATCCAAAATGCGGAAGACTAATGCGGCGAATACATCAAGACCTAATTTGAGAATGTCTTGATAAATAATACTTTTGTGATGTTTGTATAAATGCATGAGCACGATATTTTGAAGCAGTACCTAATGTTTGACCAACATCTTGTCCTTAATTTTGGATCCTCATCTGAAACAACTTTCAATGTGGTACTAACTTGGTATTTTTGGGTTGCGCGGCAACAAAGTTCACAAACATGCACTGAATGTTGACGGAATTTTAAGTACTTTAAATTAACCTTTTTCCAAAAGATACTCCAACGATTCAGCATTGAAACCCACGTTTAAGGAAATTCTAGGCAACCCTTGTGCATCTAATCGTAGAGGAGGCCTTCGCATGACTTTATTTCTTATAAGAAAAAGTTCAAATAATTTAAGGCTTGCTTGTGGGAAAAGAAAGGACATAAATGTATAACTACAGAAATAAAACAAACGGAAACCTCTAATCCCAAACAAAAAAGTCATTAAAAATCCTTTATGATCTCTGAGGGCGAATTTTTGATAAATATCGGACACATTCAAGAACTTACTATAGAGTTTGTTGTCCTTTATTCTCGATGCCAATATTCTTAAAAATAAAACCGCTTAAAAATTGTGGCAGACATCAGGGTGACATTTTATTCCAGTTACTGCGATTTGTCGCCTAAGCTTGTGAGACATGATGGCAAAGGGCAAAACTTTCACTTTAGCCTATGGAAGGTAAATCTATCATGCAAATTAGAAAGTCATTAATAATTGCCAAGTTCAAGTCAGTGCTTGTCTTGATGAAACGTTTCCATACACAAAGGCCCCGGAACGTTAAAAAAGTGCCTTACGAAACTATTTTAGATTTCCAAATTTTTGGAGAAGAAGTGCTTCATTTTAAACTCTAACAAATTGGTTAATGAGAGGAAACACCTTCTAACTCTCAAATTAATTATACAAAAACTTGGAACATAACATTCATACTAAATAGCGTATAAAGAGAAATACACAATAAAGGTGTCGTTATCCTGCTTCCTTCCTCGAGCTGTCGGAGCATAGATATAAGGTGAAAAGCAGAAGCACCGTAAAATGCACCGAAAATGCTCACAAGCAACTTAAACCCTTTGAGAGCTTACATAATTCATTTGGTTTTGAAGAAGCGGGTAAAACCGCTTCCAGAGTGAAATTGGAAATGTGGGGTTACAATGTTTGGGCAGAAGATTTTGTGTTGCTGTACATCATTTTCCATGAAAAAATAAGCACCGTTTATAACAATTTTTGACATTCAAAAGTATGTGCGATAATTTTAGCAGAATTGTGAGATAATTTGAAGTTGGCCTATTAATAGGTAAAGCCAAAACCTCAACCGACTTTTAGTAGGCAATTTGGTGCGTTTTATGGTTGTTAATGTTGGTTCATTAGACTCCCAGTTATGGTTACGGGGGACTTAGGCCTCTGCCATTGTACTCCCGCCTTGGGTCATAGTCTTCGGGCCATTTCAGTAGACCTTCATCTTCCCATACATCGGCATTGCATTTTTTACCCTAGTAATATGACATCTTCCGTATTCAGGAGCGATTTGTTCCAATTTAGTATGAGCTAAAAATAGAGCAGTACTTTATTATAATTTTACGTATCCAGAACGTAAACGCACCGTCTTTTGCAGCTTACTTCACAAAACATACTAATTGTTGTTTCCGATTAAGCGAATGCAAACATATTGCAATGTGTTGCTTGTTTTTAACTCTCGGTTTTGGTACTTGGGTTACTTAGGCACCTCACCAATGCTACCTCCGCCAAGTAGGCTAGCCTCTGGTCCGCGCCAGTAGCCCCAAACCCACTGAATGCTGAATTTATAAATTCTTCTCGAGCATTATGTCTTCCTACATCCTCAGAGAAGTCTCAAGGTGCTACCATATCATTGACAACTTTCAAAAAAATGAAGCTCTTTCCTATTTGACCTAGATATATATTAGTCATACCGACAATAACTAGTGTTAAAAACGATAAGAATTGGATGAATAATAATGTATTTTGTCCCAAAATAAACGCCAATTCTGTTTTAAAGGAGGCTATTAATGTTTCATCCTATTTACTAGATCCATTCCTAGTGGTTATAATTACCAATGAGCCGGAATAAATCAACAGCCTTGTGCCTTAGTTTTATGAGCAGAAAAATGCTCTACAATTTGCAAACTTTCAAACTACGCTTTAGCCGAAAGTTTTGGATTTAGAGACAAAAACACGCTTTTTACCTAAGAGACTGGACTTTGTTTTGGGTTTCACAAATTTGGATTTATTGTGCTTCCGAAAGAGACAACGTTTTGGTTTCCATTAAAATTATTTTGGCATATTCGCTTCTTGTTTGAATTAATGGACTTAAATTTGAATCCACTGCATAGATGTCAAATATTTTGGTTAGATGCATGATCTCTATCTATTCTGATAGGTAGAATCCCTTGCTGGTTCGAGATGGTGCTATTAATTATGCAGAGGTGCACATTATGTAAGATTTTATTAAGCCAATCCCAGTCGTCAAACAGGGTAAATTATTACAGCAGTATTCATTACCAGAGCAAACTCCGTAATGTAAATGGGCAATCTCGGATGTCAGTTGGGCTTTCAGTAGCAAAGAACATTACGAAGTGGAAGATTCTGATAATGAATCATAAATGAAGGAAGCTGTGGGTCCAACCTACCATTAACCATTCCGCCATGCAGTAAATTTGGATTGAAGAAGGTATAACGCAGTTATTAATAACCTACCTGTAGCAGGAACATAATCTGTAAGAAGTGGGCTCACTGACAACACATAGAGGTTAGCTTGGAATGTGCTTGCTACCGCAGGAGAAGTCCATCAAGGATTCAAGAAGATATCACAATGGTGCTCAAAATTATTTTATAAACACTAAAACACTTCCCCTAGCTTCCGTTTAAACTCTTTCAAAATAGCACTTGAATGTTAACTATTTGCGATTAGGAGATTTTCTTATTCCAGGCATTAATCTGCTTGACATTAGGGTAGCCGAAGTTCCGAACCTTCACGTCGAGTTCCCTTTGCGTACAACCGCTAGCAGCATCTGCATTTTTAGGCAATGCAGCGAGATGTCGTCTCTTGCGCCTCGCTCCCACCGTCGAATCGTTACTGCCACCTACGCTTCCTCCACCACCAACAGCTCCTCCACTTCGAGTGATTTTTCGTTGTCCAGCTGCCGATACAGCGACTGGCGCTTCGTGGTGTCGTGCAGTGAGAAGTGGGGAGGTGAGTTGCCACGGTGGAGCTGCCGCCACCGCAGCACCCGGAGTCGTCGCAGCAGTGGCGGCAGTTGCGTCGGAGCTCTCCAACGACGAAGCGGCGGAGGAGCGAGTAGCACAGCGAGAGGGACGACCGCGAGCGCGAAGTGCACAGGTATGCAGTAGCGGTGGTCGCGAGCCACTCTCCGAGCGTGGGCGAAGAAGCGGGGCACAGCGCGGGGAGGTTGAATACCAGGCAGAGGGAGTTCGTACTGTTCGACAGGAACTGGGACCTACAATCAGTAGAAGGAGCTCAGTTAGCTACGAATTTATTTCATAGGCCTTCGTAGCATATTGAAAGGCAGTAGAATTTGTTTGGGATTTTAAAGCGTATTTACTGATTATGACCAAGTTACTGGTTTGAGAATCAGCTATTAAGGAGAAATCGTAAATCGCAGTAGATAAGTGGAGTGCATAGATTAGGAAACTGCCCTAATTGACCAGATCGGTGCATCTAAAAATTTATAGCAGTCCTTTTGTTTTTACGGAAAAATGAAAAGTATTTTATGGAGGAGTGTTTTTATAAACTTAAATTTAAGTTCCAGGAAAATGAAAAGAAGCAGAAGACAATGCGTTTAAAGACGCATTATTTCTTGAGAAAGGCGGATCTTTGCAATTAAAAACCATATGCAGCCGTTTTAATCAACGGATCATCAAGCTTCTAATATAATCAAGGATGACTCCAACTCGTCTTTTGCGGAAATATACATATAAACGGCTTAGTTGGAATGTGTTGTTGTTATTGTGAGTTTGTTACTTATTACCTAACAAAAGCTAAGGCATTTCTTACTAGTATAGTACGCACAGATTGATAAAAATTGCCTGTTTTAGTCACTTCTAGAAATGGATACATTAATTCAGGGGAGATATATTTATTAGTTTCTATGTCAGTTTATAAATCCTGACATTTTAACTGGACTGTCAGGTTGACAAATCAACGTGAGGTTTTTAAATGTAATCAGGTAAGAAATTTTGATATTTTGGGGGGTTTTGTTCAGAGCTGAACAGCCTCATCGGCATGATTTGCATTATGGTCTAAGTAGAAGCGAATGTATTGAACTTGGAGACTTATCAAGATTGAGCTAAACTGCTGTGATTCTGTACGGAAAGATAATTTTGCTGCTAGCAGTAGATGAGAAAATTCCTAGATAGTACCACGACTTCCTAATAAATTTATGCAGTAGGGCCATTTTTATTCAAAGGCTTCAAGGTTTGATAGGTAGAATGATTACTAAGAGATGTTTAGACGCGGATCACTTGAAAATGAGCTTTGAATGACAAAAACAAGTTAGTTTCTGTAGAATTAGAGCAAAATCACTCAAAAAATCCAACACTATTTTCACCTTAAATTGGTATAGAGTTATTGACTATTATCGCAAGAGAATGGGTTGATGTGCAATGCCTGTATCTTTTAAGCATCTCGAGCCCTCTCTGAAGTCGCAATAAGTCTTGACGGCACGAGAGGAATCAAGAGGCTGTAGACATAATGTAAAGCCTATGCAGCCCAAAACGTAGTTAAATAGACACCACTTAACATGGATACCGAGGAGTACACCAGTGAGGAGTTTTACGGCATCCTGGGGGCACCAATCCGCAAGTAAGTTATTCGGACAATGCCAACCATACTAAATAATTTGCGAAAAATTCTTCCGTCTTTCTGTCAAAATGCAAAAAAAATTTTAATCAAAAATTTGTATAGTTGTTGCGTTGGAAAGCATAAAGTCAAATATGTCTCCAAGTTTATGCAATAAATATGCTTTCAGAAGTTGTAAAAACCAAGTTACGGATATAAGTGGATATTTACTTAATTCCGCAAATCTAAAGTCGACATTTCTTAATGTCAGTTTGCAAGGGTAATTCGAAAACAATAAAAAACTGCAAAACCAGATTTATTAGCGTTCTAACTAAAGAAATTAAGCAATTTTACTACCAGCCACTTAAATTTGAGCTTTTGATTCTAAGCTAAAGATCCATTTAAATTAACCAAAGATAACCTTAGGGTTAGGTTAAGTTATTCCAGTTTTGTACAGGACCTAGGTTTGTGATGAGTGATTTGAAACAGTTTTTCCAGTTTGACGCAAGTATTTTGAACCATCCTGCGTAACGTTTTCGGTGCTCAATACCTCGCTAATGTAAGTTCGTTAGCCAAATGCGCAACAAAAGGAGGTAGAGTTTTAAACAACAACGGATTTGCATAGTGAGGGGTAGAATTAAATAAAAGTTAGGTCACAAAGATCAGGAATTACTAGGTACAGAGAGAAAAAAGTAAGTAAATTATGGCAAGTCAAGTGTGGATTTCTATCACTTTTACAATAGGTTAGAGCATTTTTGATGGAATTTTTAAGATTTCGGTATTTTGGTTCCTTTTGTTTCTTCTAGAAGAGCTGAAATATAGGCGGAACAACAACCGGTCTTTACTCAATCGCCTTTGAGTCTGTAACACTCTAGAGTAAAGATGCCCACGTTGGAAGTATGAATTAAGCTCTGCTTAATTCTATGCTTTGTAGGATATGAGGTGGTCCTCCTTCTTCTCTCATGGAGTCAAAACTAGGGAATAAAGGCAAATGAGATGCGGATATCACTTGGACTACAATTCTAACACTAGTCCGATGATAATAAAAGTTTTGAAAACTTCATGAAGTTTTTTTAAAGCGAAAAACACTGGGTTTTTATACAAGAACAGTTAATGAAACACGTGAAATTTCACAAGTGAATACAGCAAAGTATCAGTTGCAAGTACCCAATTTATTACCAAGAGAACAAATAAATTGTCATTGGATTTTATTTTTACCAGATACATTCACTTAAGTTGTTCAAATGGCAGTTAAGGTTGAAATTTTGCAATGTTCAAGTTATTTAGCGCATTACAATTTCCAAAAGGGGAATTTTGCACTGATTTTTATTGCCCCAAAATTATAATACACAACATTTTGATTAAAATAATTATAATGAGGTCAAAAATATAACTAGAATACACAGTTTTAGAAATCAAATCTTCCACTGATTAAATTAAACAAAACCCATTTTGCTTGTTGGAAGAGAGTACGGTTTGTACATGTAATTTGTACTTGTAAACGATATGCACTTATTTATAAGTAACAATTAAATATGAAATGTGCAAATTTAATATTTAAAACTGCAAAGCACTATAATTGTAAAACTTTTGGCATATTTGTCTTTTTGGAGTGATTTGGATGACTTGGATTCATTTCTTCAGCAATGAAGCTAGAAATGGAAGTACTTTAGTTAGTTCAGCAAAGATATTTCACTCTAATTTAGCTTAAGCCGAAAAATATTATGTAGCCGTAAGTCTAATCAACGGGATGAGGCTCACAAATGGTTTTACTCCCTCATTCAACCAGTTTTTTGGAACAGTAAAGCAAAAATGAAGTTTCCATTTGTTTAGGTAAAGCATAGTCGTTTGCTTTTACATTTTGGAAGGCTAAATCCTAAGATGTTGCGTATTGCTACGGCAACGAGACTGAGAGTGATTTAGTAAAGGGTTCACGTTCATCATTGTGATGAAAATGGTCAGCGCTTTCGTAAAGCCACGCACAATTATTAATTTCTACCGCAAATCTGCTGATCATTTTGGATCCAAAAAAAGTATTTAAAGCAACGTTTCTTTTTTTTTAAACTGCTTATAAAAATTTGTCAAAAATTGCATCCTGGTAAACTTTTGGTGAAAAAATCTACTTATGACAGGCAATAATTTTTGGTTGTGCGGAGGAATAGAATGGTGTAACTTCTAGCTAATCAAAGGGTTCACTGGAAAATTAGGAGGCAATACCGATTATACTTTATTAATAAGGCAAAACTGGGATATTTTGCTCAAAAATGCCCTACCAAGTCAATGTTCTGCATCACTTGTGGCAATACACCTCAATGTTCTCCTTCATATTCGAGGAACTTTTAGCAAATTTTGCCACTTTGCAATGCGCTTCCTGCCTTTTCATTTCGCGTTTTTGTCCCTCACTACTGTTATTTTAGTTTTCATGAATTTTTACTCAAAATATTTCCGAGTTTATGATTGGCCCATTTTACATTTATTTGTACATAGTTCCTCATCCACCGTCGACACAAAGTTGGACTTTCTCTTAGAATACTTTGATCAAAGCTTAGTTGTGGTCTCAGTTGTGATTACTTTTTCTCCGTGTAAAAGCACGTACATGCCTTATCAGGCATACAGTAGTCTAAGTAGGTCACAATTCGCCCACTATCTTAAATAAAGTAAAATGGTATATACAGCCTCTCCATCTGTGCCAACATCTTAAGAACGTGTCGATTTGGCCATGCTTGTGTTTTCCTGAGTCTTCTGGAAGAACTTAAAGATGCACAAGTAAAATAATCCTCCCTAATAATTAATTTTTGTGGTGTTTTGGGGCCTGATTTAGGCTCTTTATTGATAGTGGTAATAAGTGAACTTAAAAAATAGGGAAGAACCATGATTCTATTGGCCAGCCTCTAAAAATGAAATTCACAAAAGGAGTTCTACTGGTGTAAATAGCTAAATTTGCTGACATTCACTGTAAAATAGAAGCAAACTTTTATAATTTCTCAATTAGTAGTGTGGTGAGCTCAAATTTAAACGCATTTTAAGTTAGGCTTGAAAAAAGCTGACAGCCTTAAATGGTGTTTTAGATCCCATTCCTTAATTTTTAGGGCAACTTTTCCAGGGCAATCCTTTAGCAGAGTTTTGTTTGGTCTTTAGCATCAACTCATGAACCAATCCTGGCAAAACGTATGGGATTCACTACTACTAGGTAATATATTTATTTATGACCCGCTTTTACATTATAATAGATCTTGTTTAAAAATTTATTGCCTAGATCAGGAATGACGAGCAAAGGAATAACAGGACTCTGCAATAAAGCTATATTTTTGCGAATTGTCGCCTGACCACTCCGATTCTTCACTCTCCACAGGCCATACCAGCACCTTGGCAAAGGAGTTTTCTGATCTTGCTTATATTCTCCCAGTGATTCTACATACTACTAAGAACTATTCTGAGTTGATGCTGCTTAAAACAGCCTTAGCGATAACTCGGTTCCAGATTTAAGGAAGAGGTGTCAGTAGAAAAAATATAACTAGGCGCCAGTGCTTGGTTACATAAAAAATATTTGTTACTTCGTCTTAATGCAGTATTAGCTGTGATTTTAACTACAGAGATTAAACCTAGTATTTTTCGTAATACAATTGTCGCTGCATATGATATTATAATAGAATGGAGTACAAAAAAGGTTAAAAATTTTCACTTCCATTTGCTCTACAAAACAGGTGTCAAATTTAAATTTAGAATTACATTGGTAGTGAAATATTATTTTTGAAGTACATATAAGTTAAGCCTAAGAAAAACTATTAACGCTTTGACGTTTTTACAAACTGTGAAATGGTCCTTCCAATTGGACTGTAGTTGGAGCACTTCAAAGGTGATTTAAAAAGCTAAATTTGAAAGCAACGAACGGTTTTGAAATTTGCAAGAGTGTTTAAAATATTTATAACCACAAAAAATTTTTTGAGTTAATTAACACAAACTTAACATGAATGGCCACAAAAGGACCCGTTGATTATGTATTCTACCACGAAAGAAGCCACTAAGATCGCAAACGTGTAATGCTTTCTAAAAAACATTTTAGCATAAGCAGAAAGGAAAATATTGCTGATTGTATCATAGCCCATCAAAAAAATCTCAACTTGCTGTTGCAAAATACTATGAAAAGCAATTAAGCATTGGTGTTGTACGGTCTCCCAGCCCAGAGCAGAGCAGTAGAAATTTCTCACAAATAACAAAAATTTATTTGACTCGATGCCTGTCAGTTTTGTAGCAATAAAATAATCAAAATCCTAGAATGATTTAGTACTAATATCAAAAAAGGAAATTTTTACAAATAAAAACGTTTTTAAAATTAAATATTTTTCTTAATCCTTGTACTATTTTAAATAGGACATATAAATGCTTTTAACTATTTTTTAGTAAGCTACAATTTTTAACGGAATTTAAGTCAATTTTTTCCCTCATTTTGACATTTGCTTTGCTAAGGCTACCGAAATTTGATGCAAAATAATTTTTACTGCATCATAGTAGTAACAAAGAGAGATTGGTATTCAAAATATTCAGTACTCATTAATTTACATGAAACCATTTTTTCCAAAAGGGTTTCCACAGCCTTAAGTGATATTCCTTCCTTCCATTCAGATTCACGGAGGACTGTTGGATACACCCTATTAGAGCTTATAAAAATCATTATTTTATTTGTAAAAAAAGGTTTTAATAATAGTTTTTTCCTTTTTGGTAGACAGGCGGTATTGCTTATTCCAGTTCTGGCCTGCCGTCTATATAGATACTAAAGCTTTATACTCCTCACTGTACTTAATAAAAATACAGAATTATCTTTTATTCCTAAAAATGCATCTTTTGGAAAAGCCACATTAAGGAATAACAAGAATGTAACGGGCTATTTATCTCTGGGATTTTTAGTCAAATCGTTTCGTAATAAAAGGTCAGCATAAGAAATGTAAATAGTCATTTTGATTATTGTATTTCTTGAAGTTGATCTGACATTTCAAAAGGTAGTTATTACAATCTGTCTTTTAAATACTGACCATACCCTTCTTTAGAGTAGACCTGTAATAACATTAAAATTAACAACAATAATGACAGGAGGAGATTTATATATCTACTGACTTTTGTGAGGTGTCTCTTCTTCAGCTTTTTTATCTTTTATTGATCGCCGTGGAAACTGTGACATCCCCTTTTCGCCTAAGCTCATAGGCTATAAATTTCCACCAATTCATTTTCAATTTAATGGGGCTACTGTCAAAAAAAAACCAACTTAAGTAATAAGACAAATTAGAATGATCTGCATAAGCGATGCAGAACCGTGATGTTGTCCTACATAAAGTCCATTGTGTTCATAATTAATGAGTCCATGAAAAGGACTTCGCAGTTCCCGTTGTCGTTTAAATGAGAGAGCCTTGACAAATTAAAAAGATCACTTTGTTTTATTTAAATTACGAATATTTAGAGGGCATTATCATTATTTAACTTAATAAAACAATGGGTTGTCGAGTAACATAGCAAAGCAGCCAAAAATTTCGGTTTACTCACGACTGAAGTGTCTCAAAATTGGGTAGAAATTTCCAAAATTTTAGCATCAACTTTATCAACCCTTCATTTTAATTGAACTATGAATGGTAGCAGTAAGAAAAAGCCCAAAATAGCTAGCTTTTTATGGAAAAAACCCGATAAACTGTGAACTAAAAGTGCGTCAATGCCTTAACCACAAAATGTCATCATAATTGTCAACAGTTGTAGCAGTTCTTTCTCTCCTTAACGGGCTGTTGCACAGAAACATTTACTTTTTCATTTATTTGAAAAAAAAGATTCTTATATTCATAATTGCAAAAAGGATTCCTGCTAAAATTTCTGATTAAGCCTACTGCATGTCGTTTTTGCGTTGGAAGGGTTTCGTAGTCGAAATTAGCGCGTTAGATACACACATCACATAAATGCGACATGTGTGATACGCCATTCCCTAATAACTGGTAAAGACTAATTGCCTCGCAGGTAGCTTGACTTAAAAATGAAAACAAAAGAGAGGCTCTTCCTTTGGAACTAATTATATTCCGCGATTTTAGTAACAGTGTCTTAAACGGAACAAATATTTTGAATTGGGATGGTCGATTGTCCTCTACGACTTACCTTGAAAACGAACGTGGTAAAGAGACCACTTCGCTTTTAGCAATCGGGGTAGAATCAGTTAGGGTTTTTTGGTTCTGAAGCAAAAATGTTTATTAAATAGGGAGTCTTTAAAGTCGGTTACCATTATATTCAACGTTGTTTCTGGTTATCCGTCCATTAGCAACTGAAACGGGGGATGATTCACAAACTGCGGGCTTATTAATCTAGGTAAAGAAGTGTTTGACGCTGCGTCAGACAGAGCAAGACTATTCATTAAGTTAACTTTTTATTTTGTAAATTTAATTTGTCAATTTGCAAAGAGCGAACTACTTTGGGAACTGTCTTTTAAAATTGTTGATGAACTTAGGTAAAATTTGAACAAAGCTGCACATTCGAAAAATGTGGGAGAGCAGCAAGTAGTCTGAGTTCTGAATACTTTTATGCACTTCAACGACAACTGGCGATTTAAAATGATATTCTACTGACACTTGATTTTGGAAGTACATGTTCCCGACAGGAGCACTCAACATTTGCCCTGATTGTATACAAACTCAGCGCAGAATCATATGTACTAGAATCAGTGTAGTTTGTCCTCAGAAGTTCTTGAAAACGCTACCTCTGCTGATGACCAGCTCATTGAAACTTGCACGTTGTCTTGCTGACTGTTTCTGCTTAAATTCGGTGCCATAGTTACAGTAGAAAATGACATTTAATTTTAGACTGATTAATAATGAAAACGAGTATAAACATTCAAATCTAATAAAGAAAGTACGATTAATTCTTAAAATGCTTTTATTGTAAGTAAACTTTAATGTAATTCTGGTGAGTTGAAGTGGGCTAAAACACCACATTTTTGTTCATTTACTTTCGTCCTATTGCCCGTTTTTTTTGTATTAATGAGATCAACCCGAATTCAACATTTAGTTTGAAGGCTGTGAAGTAAAGACAAAAATTTTTGCCTGCTTAAGGCAAAAGAGAACCGGATTTTTCAAGGTCTATTAGTAAGCTTTAACGCATGTTCGAAACAACCAGGTCTGACCATGCGCCAGTAATTTCGGCACTGTTCAAGCCAGAAATTTATCCTAATGCCGCTTTAAGAAGCATCAACTTGAATCCAAAGTTTCATGACTATTCTGCAAAGAAAGTGGTCTGTCTTAAAATTATGTATTCTTAGGGTTCCAATTTTGCAGTGACCATTATTAATTCTGCTTTGATTTATAAAAATTTGGCATTTTAGGATTGCCTCAAACTCATTGAAAAAATTGTTTGACCTAAGTAAAACTTTTCATGGTAATAAGTTCATCATCTACCACACAACACGACAATCAAAGGTGTTACTTTATACCAATTTTTCAGCAGTAATCAACCCATCTTAATCATTTTCTTTGTCAAATCATGATAAGAAATTAGAATACGAAGAGTGATCCAAACAAAATAAGACTGTTTGCTTACAATAGGTCTCGATCAGTGAGTAGACTTATAGATGATTTCGGTTCTTAAGACCCAAGTGTGTCCGCTTATTTGCCCCCTGCATGTCCTTCTGTTCCTCCACAGTTCATTTTGCAAGCATTGTGCCCCTGATCGCAGTCGATTGGACACCCACGGCGCCTTGCGTTTGTCACACCCGGGTTTTCCCCTACCTACATACATACCTCCATGCCGTCTACAATGCCCATCAAAGAGCGGATAGCTAAACCCTCTGCTCTAGTGCAATTCTGCGGCGTCTTTTGCCTCGATTAGATAAATTTATGCTCGTCTGCATATAAAACTGGCCTACCAGACGCACCTAGTAAGAATGACATTCCCGTTTTCCTCCTTTCTCCGAGAAGAATAAAGGAATACGTTAACTCGATAAAGGTACATCAATTTTCTTGTAGGCTAAATTCTGTAAATAAACCTGAATTTCTGATCGAGAAGATACTTCTAAACCAATAATCTAGTAATTACCATGGATGTGGAATTAGTGGATGTTCTGTGGTTAAAAGTGGGTAAAGAGTTGCAAAGAAACCTCTTATTCAAATATAGACTGTGTGCATATACCAGGAATCTAATTTCTGGATTATGTGAGTAAAGAGACCACACTATTGACCTTTTCATCTGTCAGGAATAACTTATGAACGTGTAAATTATCCTCTTATCCTACAACTATTTCTAAAATAAAGGTGCTTCCGTTGAAATCAAATGAATTGGCTGTATGAAGGAGTTTTACTGGAATGAGGTACAGCCTGTACTGTTACCCATTATTCCCAATGGGAGATGTTTCAAAATTAGTTGGTAAGGAATTTTGGTCCACTTCCCTAGTAATACATTAAAGAATGTCTGCTCAGGATTAAGATGAAGTTTTTGTCATTTGTTTCTTATTTACTTATCAGACGAATCGACAAAAGTTGTAGTTTAAAAGTAGTGTGATATAAAAAAGTTTAATCATGGTTTCCGAACTTTAGCTCAAGATCGTCACTTTTAGTATATAAGGATTATTTATCAGAAAATGTTTTAACACCATTAAATTTCCATAACATTGTTGATTCTTGATATTGCTGAAGAATTTATTTTCTTTAAAGAGGTCAGAATTCGAATCAAATAGGTGGATTTTACAAGTTCGTTCAAAGACCACAAAAAAAGCCTTGAAAGGCGATTTCAGCTTTGCAGAATTTTTCACAGCTAGTTAAAGAATTTCCTATTTACTCCGCATTGTTAGAAATATCGTCAAAAGGTAAGTCAGCAGACTCCATTTACCTTTTTACTTATAAGATACTGGTAAGTAAAGAGTTGGATAATATAGGAGAAAGGAAGAGTCCTACCGATTGGTTTAAACCATGCAAAGACAAAAAAAGTATAAAAGCGGCCTTTTTTATAAAAGAGACTTAAAATTAAAAGGTAGGAAAATTTTTTCAGACAGAAATCTCTGCTGATCCTAAGTGAACAGTCCAAATACTTTTGTACTTTTTTGCTGTAATATTCATTCGCTGATTCTTCATCCGCGTGTGAATTGGACATTTTTTATTCTACCACCGATTTACTATTTAATCCAGTGATAATTCGACGCGGTTTTTGCGTCGAATAAGTCAATTAGTGATTCAGACGAATTTAAAACACAGAGTTACACAGAATGCTCCATCTGCTGAACAAATTGCACCGATATAAAGTGAATCCTTTATTTATCTTAAAATGGTGTCAAATTTTGCCATTAAAGTGCAAGAAAAGTGTTTAAAGAAAGTAACTTTTCTCAAATGGGGTTTCGTATTGAAGGAAAAAACCTAAATGAAAAATTGCTGTTAGCACAATATTATTTAAATTTCGTTTTTAAAAGAGTTTTGTTAGAGTTTGAACGCAAAATTCTTATAACCGTTATCATATTATTTGACGAATCCGCCTACGACTCCAAAAATGATATTTTCAACTTTACAGTTTAGTTTTATAAGTATAACGTGTTGCCGCGAAAGTCAATATGATCACAACTTCCAAATGAAAATACCGGTAATAAAAACAACATACTAAGAAACCCATTCCATCACTTCAAAAATCGTCCATGCCAAATCCATTAAATAAAAAAGTCAGTGGCTACGACTGGATAAACTCACGAATGACATAAGAACCTCCTGTTGATTGGAGACGATAGGGGTGGTGTAATCCAGACACCGTTTCACTTCCCAGTCTGCCTTGCGGTGGATACCAATCCTTCACCTCTTCCTCCTCATAAATGTATGCAGGACGCCGCGGGTCGCTGAGAAAGGAAGAGTGCCGTTCCCATCGCGGCGAATAGAACGCCTCGTCTACCGAGCGTCCGCGCCTCAGTCTACCTGCCCCTCCGCCTAACCTCCACTTACGCCACTCTCCTGCCGTAGTTGATGGCTCTGGTGTCATTAGAAAAACATCTGTCCTTGGTGTGGATGTAATCATCCTCGCCTCGGAGTACATCCTTTTCGCTGGTGGTGGTGGTACCGCTAGTGGTAGTCGCAGTGATGAAAAATGAGCAAGTGGAGCATTCTTTTTCGGCAGTGGAGGTGGCGTCGTGACTGATGTCAGGGGCTCAGGCGGTGGCGGACGTCGTTTTGCTGGTGCCGGAGCCTCCTCTATCGCCATCCATGTCGGTGGTGTGGGTTCCGAAGACATTCTTTTTAACCGCCGTCGTCGGATATGTCGTTGCGCGAGGTCGCACTGGTGCACTGGCATCAGGCCGGTCTCCATGCATCTGTAGGGGCACCCGCTGCAGTAAAAATAGGGACTTATCACTGAGGGAGAAGCTGGTAGAGCGACTCCACTACGCAGCGAGCATGGATGTGGTGGTGGCAGTGAAGGACGCTCACACCAACAGGGAGCTTCGAATCTTCGCCTGCGAAGATGCTCCACTACTGCTACCGCCATCGACTCTGCTTCCACTCTTTCCCTATTGTTTTCTTCCTCATTTTCAGCATTTTCCTCCTCCATATAAATTGTTGGAAAAGGGTGGTCAAAAAAGCTGGTAGCTTTAGGACAGGATGCGCGCCCATAGCGCCCATAGAAGAGGCCCCGATTTTGAGGATAGAGGGTGCGTTGCATGTTAAGCGTCTCCATAGAAGCAGCCCAATCAGGACCAATGTCATAAGAGACCTCCATGCTACTTCGCTGGCGAGATATGAGAGGTCGGGGAGCACTTGACCAGTTTCTGCAAGCCCAATCCGGCACATAAGTACTGCAGAAGTTGGCATATCTTGACATTGGTCCTTCCCCTGAAACAACAATCGTGGTAGCATAAGGTGGAGGCCATCGACAGCTTTTTGGTTTGGGAGAGACGTCAGAAGCATGCGGTGTAAAAGGCTGAGGCGGTGGCTGTCTACACACGCCTGGTGTTTGCTCAGCCGTAGTAATGGAGAGTGACGCTCGCTGTCGAGACCCCGCTTCCTCTGAGTTGGGACTATTCGCTTCACGGCTGGTCACATAGTCCATTGACGAGATTCCCGAGTCTTGAGTACGCACAGTGCCGGGTTTAAGAAAACTTGAGCTCTGAGTGGACGACTCACCGAGATTTTTTGACATTAAACTGCCAGAGGAGAGCGCCTCCTTATCCTGCGATAGATGCCCTCGCCTCGCGGCAGCTCTCGCTGCCAACGTCCACAGACGCCTCCGACGTTGACTAGGCATTCGACTAAAGGACTGTACCTCAGCGCGTGAGGTGCTAACTACCTCAGCTTCAATTTTCGTGGCTATGGTGGTGGTTGAGAGATCGAAATCCACGCCTGGGCGCTCCATTCGGTGTGTGTGAGGTCGTCGGGTACGTCCAATAGTGGTAGCGGTGGTGGTGCCGACGCTGGTGCTCCAACTGCTTTCACCGACGTTGGGGTTATTTGACATCCTGCTGGACAGGACCCGTGTGTCTGGGGATCAAAGAAGGACTTTTAAAGGGCGTCATGGGCTACTCTCGCTAAGCGAGCATCCAGCGTCGGCTTAATGACTGTGTGTCGTGCGTGGATAAATGGGTGAGTGAGTAGCAAGGCGATTTAAGCAGCCAACTAACCAGCCAGGCAGGCTGCGAGTGAGTGAGTGCGGACGTGTGTGTATGTCACTGTAATATGATTGGTAAGAGGCGCAGACGCTAAAGTGATGACAAAATTTTGCGATCGCCTTACCTCATTATCGGCTATGATAATTTTAAAAACAATGGCTAGCATGAGGAAAACAAAGGCTTTTGCTCTTTAATCAATTACTCTGACTATTGAAGAATAAATAAGGCTATCTAAAAAACTAGATTTAGGCATTTAAGTTTCAATCTCTCGGTGAATATGAGATTAGTGTTTCCTGATAGATACCACTAGCACATTTTTTTATTGTTGCTAATCATCAGGAAAAACCGCTTCAATAGTGTAGAAAAAGCTCCGTCAAATTATACTGGCAATTCTTTTGTTTAAACCACCTTAAATGCTTTACAACCTCCTTACCAGTCAGTGTCCAACATCAAGTTGGGGATAATTTTCTGGGTTTAAATTTGCTAAAATGAGAACCACGTTTACCACATAATAAGAGTAGAGAAATTCTAGTCTCCCAAATTACAAATAAATCAGTCTAAAAGGCAATTTCGCATAGTGATGACGCCCGACTTCGATGTTTGTTAAGTGTACAGCAAGAACTTTTTTCCAATTTCTGATGTGGAAAGTAAACCCATAGCCAGTCAGTATGACATTTAACTTAGAGGCAACTGGATTAACTAATCAACCTAAAATAGTTTGGGCGACAAAAAAACTTTATTTAGCATTTCATGTTGACGGTAAATGTTTTCATCTTGCGGGTATGATACTTTGAGGAAATATTAAATTTAACCGCCAGAAAAATGGCATCATGGATCAGTAGACAGAATTATCTCAAGAAATTATCCATAACCTTTCATATGCTAGACTTGGTTTTGAGCACGTTTTTTTAATTTTGATAGTGTGTCCCGCAGAGAAGTTACTGAAATATTTTTTTCTAGATTTAAGTAATTGTCAAATTCTTCCTGTAAAAGTACGATTTTAAATTTATTAGTGGATTAATTATTTTTTTAACTGATAAAAACAATTTAGCATCATTCTAATGTATGATGTACCATTTATATTCCATTAAAGTTGTTGTTTTTAATTGAATAGTATAATATTACAGAAAATGCCGTGTTTTAAAAAACCAAATAGGTTGCTAAATTGTTCGGTGTTACGGAGTCTAAATCTTTCTCTCACCTGCCTACATCAGAAACACTTTTGGTGCGGTTTGTCTACTATAACGCATGCAAAAGATGTTTATCTTCCCATAACTAGCATTAATTTTATTTCATTGCTTGATGGCTGGTGTTGAAAGTGAAATTTTATCTGACAGCCACCACGGTATTGTGGCTAAATGCCAACAGATGTCATGACAACTGAAAAATTGGTCGTAGGATTGCTCCCCTCTGGTTGGAAATAAACCGAAAACCATAGTGTAAGTCAACTGTACAATAATCGGTTATTTGTTGGATAAAGTGGTTTTATAAGTTGATAATAACTGGGTTTGATCACCAATACCATAACAAGGATTTTTGCTTGATACTCACTAAAGTTCTCCAATTCGGCGCTTTAATCCCTTTCATCCACCTTCATAATCACTGGATTTTTAGTTATTATTTTAGATACAATACTGAATGCCAAACATGTCTGTCTGAATCACCAGTTCTTTGTCTACTCGCATAATTGCCGTCCTAGAGACTTAAGTAATTCTAAGCTAGCCACAATAAAATTGACTGCCCCAAACCAACAATTTTTTTGTCCTATCGCCCTGTCATTTCTTTAGCACTTTAACAGGCCAATCAGCTATAAATTATCCTTTAGCCTAATAAGAACCGATTTTTAAATACCTTTTACTCAAATAGCATAGTTTTTGAAAAAAATAAGGAGGCCAACTAGACATTGTGTTCGCATGGACAGCTACTTAAGTTAGATTGATGACAAAGTGGCCAAAAATAGTGTAAGTTTTTGAACAAAAATGCCTCTCAAAATACCCACAAATCAAGTTAAACCTTAATTGAAGTCAAAATTTGCAAATTTGCCCCTATATAAAAATTTTGGTAACGACTACTCTGATGTCGAAAAGTACCAACCCTAAAATGCGTCCCATTTTCAAGCCAGGCTTTGCATTAAAAAAATGCTTTTAGAAAATGTAAACATATTAGGAAATTAGATAATGAAAAAGCAAGTAGGCAATTTTTACAATAAATAGAAAAGTCACTTATTTATAAATGCTGCAGTGCTCTTGTAAAACAATAATACTGACACGGAAAGAATGAGGTACGACGCTTTTTAAAAATAACTAAAATTTTGGAATACTTCTTTCTAAGAGGCTTTAAAAGCCTTTGCCAAGTTTGTATTAAATTCTCTATTAGCTTCTCAATGGATTTCGATAAATTGTTAGCGCCTAAATTTGCACTTATCAGCTTACTTTTTAGGTTATTTTAACCTCTTAAAACGCTTTTTAGTCAGTCATTGTTGTCTTACACCCTTGTTTAGTCATGCGCAAGTAGAAGTAATTTTTTTTCTGTTTTAAATAAACCTGTAAAGCGAGTTGTCTACCTCACCAATTTTCCGATTGCAATGGTCTTAAATTAGTGTCGTTCTGAAATAACCTCTGATAGTAAATTTGCCCCTCAGAAGCCCTCTGCGGGTCAAACTCCTACTTCTTCAATAATTTAAGTATAATTTTAATCGGTTGAATTTGTTTGGGAAAATAATTTGCAGAATAATTTTACAATTTTCAATATTTTAAATATTTTGACTCATACGTGGGTGGTAAACACATTTCCTTAAATATTTTTACCATAAGCAGAGACCTTGAATCATCTTATTTCTTGAAAATTCTATTATGACTCTTGAGTGGCCATTGATTGGTGAATTTATTGCAAGGTTATCAGTACAGGAATCGGTGGAGGTTTGCGCCTTCCTGCATCTTTTCGGAACACAAATGTTGAACTGTAAATTAGCTAAAATTAAGCGAATCTAAGGGGTGGAAAAGGAGGAGTAATTGGGGGACTACGTTGGGAGAAAGGATAAGGGTGAGAGCGAGGGGAAGAAAGCAGAAATGCCAACACTTTGCCACCGACTGTGCGTCTCATCTTATCGATCCATAAGGGAAGGCAGCGGCCACACCGATTGGCTGCCACCGTGGCTCGCAAGTTCGTGCGCACGCGCACCCAAACGTGCGACTACTTGCACGGCACCGCGGTGACGTCCAAATTCAGTGAGTTGGCGGCACTGTATGGCTATCTTCCATTCGCCTCAGTTACCCGTTTCCGTTTTTTTTGTTGATGTAGTACTGTTGGCAAGTGGGGGTACAAAAAATACATAACTTTAGTGTTTTTCCTATTGTTTGCCAAATAAATATTCCAGAAAAATGAGAAAGTAAGTCTGTCAAGGTTTCCGAAGTATCTGCACTTAAAAAGAGTGACGCAAACCTCCAGCGGCAATCCGTTTCATTATTTGCATTCAATACCTTTTTGAAGGGAAATTCGTTTTGACAAATATTTTATCAAAAAGTGGATAACACTGTCGCGGTTAAATCCTCCAAGAAGTGATTATATGAGGTGCAGGAACCCAAAAGGAAGTATTGCCATAGAATTCACGAATCGAAAGCCGAAATCTTAAGAATCGATGTACCTACACAATTTAACACAACTTAAACGCATTATATTCTTATATTTCCCTTTTGAGTGCAATCCCCACAATCATGTTTCTACGTCTACCATCAGGGTGTACTCAATGCTTAAAAACCAAATATGAACTTCTGTTACAGCCAAAAACATTTCCAACTGGCGTGATGCCTGTAGCCATACTTTAAGAAGTGATTTGAGGAGAATCTTGACCACTGTGGCGCTAAAAGCTAGTCGATGCCCAACAAAAAGCATATTTCATATGCTGATTGCTATCAGCATAAATAGCAGCCCAAATGTAGGCCAAATAAATAGATGAGATGACTGGATGTAGGTAACCAAAGCTGATGTTTAGTAATCATCTCTTTTTACAACCTTTTAATCAAATACTGTCCAGCCGACAACTTCTGTGTAACTTAGTATTCCTTGGATTGTAAAAGCGACAAAATACTTTGCACTTAGGGTATTTTAAAATAAATATAATGGGCAGATTTACAGCGGACTAATAGCACCCGTTGAGTGAAGCTATATAAAATTTACACTACAACCTCAGGCTGTTATCATAAAAAAAGCACAACTACATTTTCTCAATTGTCCATACACGGGGGGCTTGGCAGATGAGTATTAGGGGCAGCTCGAATGGGGATCCCTAGAATCGCAGGAGATTGAAGTACAGTAAAATCAAATACCGACTTGCTATATTTTTTTAAAGAATTAGAAATACATTACGTCTACAGGGGACTTTTGGTCGACTTTAAAGGTTCGCATTTTTACTGCCGAGAATGTCTTCCGGTGAGTGTTATATAACATTATTTGAAAATAAAACAATAGAATATGTTGCAATGTAATATCCAAGAAATCAAGAGTGACGTACGTAATGACTTAACCCTTTGCTGAAACGGATGGGGACTGGTGATTTTTGGCAGTCGTCTTCTAAAAACAATTTCCTACAACTTTTTACCAATACCTCAACTAGTGGTCTGAGAAATACTTAATTTTAAGCAATTGACTAACATCTTTGCTTAAAAAATCTGTTGTTTTGTCTTCGCTTATGGTTGCTTAGTCAAATTAAACTTTAATTTGAGTGCATGGTTTGGGAGACCCAGTTATGATCTCTCGATAGCCGTGGAAAAGCAAAGTGCCAATTAGACGTGTAACAGTTTCACCCACTTAGGCTACCACGTAATAATGTAGGGTAGTCAAATTAAACAGG